GCAAGTTCCCAGGTGCTGCTGATCCCTCTGGCCCGGGAACCACACTTGGGGGACCCACCTCTGACTTTCTAGGGTGCTGTGCGTGTAACTAAACTACCATTCCATTTCTGAAAATACTGATGCATGAAGAATAGTTCTTGTAGCTCAGAACACAGAGTGATCCCCCTCGCCCAGCAGTTTAGGAACACTTCACGAAGCAGTCACGCCAACAGAAGTAAAGTCATCAAGCTTCCATTCCACCCTCAGGGACAGGGAGGAGGGACACGAAATCAGAGCATGGTCAGAGTCTGGTGAGTCTCAACAAGTTATCCTTCCAGGAGGAGATGGCTTGGTACAAGGCTTCCGACAAAGGTTATGTGGCCAGGTTTAAGCCTGGCAGGGCACTGGGAAATCCCCAGGCCTGATGCCACAGGACAACCCTGCTGGATGTCATTTTACGGCTCCCATCATTTGTCCCTGCCTTACAAATCCAGCCTGGTCATTGGTGTATTCCCGACCAGGACATGGTGCCCCAGCATGGACCCCTGCACCTGACTCCATGCCTTCATGCATGCTATTCCCTCTTTTGGCATACCCTTCCTGGTCCTCTCGCCTCTGTAAGCCCTATTTGTCCATCAGGACCAAGATGAAATCTAACCGGAATGAAATTCTCCATGGGAACCTACCATTCACTCAGCCTATACTGAGTGTCTTTTTCTTCTATTCATATCCATTCACTGGGACTCTTGATCATCTTATTTTTTTCATTCATCAGCATGTAGCCCCTTCTTGGAGAGACTACAAAGTGCTGGGCTTGGGAACAGGATCCTAGACAATAATAGATAGGATCCTTGCTCCAATACAGAAAGATCCATTAATCAAATAATTGCACTGGTGGGAGCACAATTACACTGAGAAGAGTGGTTGAAAGGAAGATGGTTTTAAGAGAACATATAAGGTCCCTGATGTAGACTTGCGGGGGGGTGAGTGGGGTCAGGGTAGACTTTCTGAGAAAGTATAGTTTGAGCTGAGATCTGAAGGATGCCCAGGACTTGGGTAAATGAAGGGGGTGTGGGGTGGGGGGTGGGAGGAGGGAAAGCTCTCATAATTGGGGGAACCAGCTTGTGCAAAGTTCCTACCATGGGTGGCAGCCTGGCAGGTTCAAGGAACTGAGAGAAGACTGGAACGGCCAGGGGTGAGGGATGGGAATTTTGTAAAGAAAGGAAGAGGGAGCCCAGCCAGAGTTGCTCAGTGGTTGAATGTCGACCTGTGAACCAGGAGGTCACGGTTCCATTCCCGGTCGGGGCACATGCCAGAGTTGCAGGCTCAGTCCCCAGTGGGGGGCGTGCAGGAGGCAGCTGATCAATGATTCTCTCTCAACATTGATGTTTGTATCTCTCTCTTCCTCTCCCTCTCTCTAAAATCAATGAAAACTTATTTAAGAAAGAAAGGAAGGAAAGAAGGGAGGGAGGGAGGGAGGGAGGGAGGGAAGGAGGGAGGGAGGGAGGGAGGGAGGAAGGAAGGAAGGAAGAGGGATTCATTGTGAGGCTGGGGATCTTAATGATCTTGACCTCTGACCTGAGAGCGCTAGGATGACAGGATGGGTTTTAAGCAATGGCATGACGGGGTCAGAGTCAGGTTCTGAAAGTTCGCTGTTGTCGGGAGACTGGACAGGCTGAGAGCAAGGAGACAGGTTGGAAGGCTGGTGAAATAGTCCAGAAGATGAACAGGAAGTCTTGGACGAGGGTGATCTAGTGGAACCAGAGGAAAGGAGGATGGAGCTAAGAAAATACAGGGAGGGGAATTGATAGGTTGTGGTGGTCACGTAAGGGGGAGGGAGGAGTCAAGGGTGAGACTGTGGACACCTGTCCACTTTGGAGGAGATGATACTGAGTTTGCCTTTGAACCTGCACATGGCGATGTGGAGTAGGCAGCTAATCGGGACCTCGGCCCTCTGAGCTGGGGTGGTCATGGGGTGTCACGGGAATGTGTGGTGGGTGCAGATGTCAAGGGAGAGAGCGTGTGTGAGAAAGGAGGGGTGTCTCCTCAGACTGGGTCATCAGCCCCTGAAGGGCAGGGCACTTGGAGGAGGGCCAGTCACATCCCACTGGCGGCGTGGGGGGTGTTTCTCTCATTCCTCATCTCTCCCTGCTCACCAAGTTCAGGTCTTCACTGTGTCGGACCTGGAGGCAGCCAGAACCTGCCAACCCATGGCTTCTGGAATTTCAGTATGCACACTAGCAACTTGGGGGTCTTGATAAAATGCAGCTTCTGGTGAATAGCTCTGGGCTGAAGCTCCCGGTGATAGGGGCCACACTGTGAGCAGCGAGGGGTGGGTCTCCCTGGTCCTGAAGCCCCAGCCTTTGCTCCGAAGCCTTCAGTGGCCATTCCCGGCTCACGCAAACCTTCCCACTGCTTTCCTTCATCCACCCTTCATTCCGCCAAACCAAAGCCCTCCCTCTGAACTCGTCCGTCTCCTTTGTTGTTCAGAAGGGTCAGGGGCCAGCTGAGGCCAGCCTGCAGCCGGAGTGGCGCTACTGCCGTGTCTTCGAAGGTCTGCCTAAAAGCCCCTACCAAAGGATTTTGTAAAACGCCATACCCCCTCACACATCTTTAAGCTTACATCGACATTTTTAATCAGACATTGGTAGAAGGTGCGATTCCCAGTATGTTACTAGTATAAGCACTGATATTTTTAAGTAAAACTATTACATCACTGTTTGCAATTTATCCAGTAGAATCTAAACACCCTAGCAATCTGATACCTACCATCACCCATTTTAAAAATGCATGCACACACTCTTTGTTAATAGTGCTCCTTTTCTCCTTGAAATTTTATTTCTGTTTCACTTCCCCTGTGGAATTTCATCCTAATGTAATATATGTAATATATTTTTATGCTTAAAATTCTTTCATTTGTTTCCCTAACATTTTTCTCTGTAACAATTTTATATGAAGTTAAAAGTTTTTTAATTTCCTGAAATCATAAAGCTCTAAGTGTTAACATTTTCTTCTAGTTTGAGTTATTGTTACAATTATTAATAGTGTACAGTTGATCAAAACGACACAAGTGTATTACTCATTTTGATAAATAATTAATAAGCATAAAAACTAAAATTATATTGAAAATGCATCTCTTAGTGAGATGGTGATGCTGGGTCATTTTTTAAAATAATTTTTTTATTCCACGAATATTTTGAATTTAGTTGTATTAAATGCAAACTGAAGTACATGGGACAGGTAATGCAGTGGGTTCCGAGGGCAGGAACACGTTTTAGAAGTGGTTGTTAGGGTCAGACTTGCAGGATGTGCAGCATTTGGCCAAGTAAGGAAAGAATGAAAGAATATTCCAGAGAGAGGGAGCAGCATGACAGAGCAAGGGCCTACGTTGGACAAGATGGTAAGAGAGGTAGACCACCGTGACACAAAATACATTCCTTTTAATAATTTTTTTATTGACATACAATATACACACCTGTGTGTGACCAGGTCGAAGTGTGCTGTTTGCGTTATCACATGGTGAGCACGCCCATGTAGTTATCACCCAGGTCCAGATATAGAATATTGCTGGTTCTGGGTTATTTCTTCAACTTGTTTATTTATCCAAAGAAGAATACTGTTTTGTGGCATGAGACGTGAGACAAGGATCAGCATCGATTGCCTTTCCATTCTTTATTTAAATGCACTGAAAACCCACAATCATATCAACCAGTAGATAGAAATAAAACTTGGATAAAGCAGGGTCACTCAGTTCTTGATCTGCTTCTGAGTTATATGCCAAAAATCACATAGTGCTCACTGACAATTTCATTTTAATTACTTCTGTTTGGTCTTCCAAATGAAAAAAGGGACTGGAGACCACCCAGCATGAGAGCAAACACAGGAACTCGCTTGGGTCGGAGTTGCTTTCTTTCTCAAGTCCCTAAGTGACTTCTCGTGTGGTGGCCAGGAGCTTCGTCCTGGGCAGTGAGCTCAGCCCCTCGGCTGGGCGGGTAAGAGGTTTGCCCCTCTCCTGTAGAGGAGGAGGCCTGTTGTGAAAGAACAGGTATAAGAGGACGACTCACATTTCTGGCAGCCATCCGTTCTAGAAGGGTTTCTATGGGAGTTGACGATCTGGAACTTGATTCTCTGAAAACCTGGAGGGCGCGTGTAGCTTATATAAAGTCTTCGTTTACTCCCAGGCTTTGCATACCCCAGTTTGAAGTTCACGAAAGAACCTGTATGGACTCCAACCAGACTAGACCAGCCTCTTCACATTTCCTAGTTCGTGTTTCTAAGAGAGGGCATCTATTGGCCCAGGCTAGTTTCGGTGCCAGGCCACATCATAGGCTTCTGGCCAGGTGGCCAGCCCTGGCACAGACGTTTCCCTGAGCAGGGACCACAAGGAAGCAGGAGCTATGTTGACCTCACAGGCTAACTAACAAGGGCAGTACCCTTACAAGCACTGTCTCCCGCTCTGTTCGCTGGAAATACGCTCTCCAGTCTGTGAGGTCCCACGCTGTGGTTTTTACCTTTGATTTACATGCGCCTCTTCCCTCCTTGTATCGTACTTACTCATGGACCCATCACCTTTTCTAACTGTAAGCTCTTCAAGAGCTGGCCCAGGGCTCAATCACTTCCTACATTGTGCCTCACACTGAGGAGGTGTCTAATAAGTATTTGTTGAGCAGATAAATTGATTAATGAATGTCTTCAGCTTCTTCGCATCTCCCACACGGCCTAGAATAAAGCTGGGCTTTCCATAGCAGGGTCCCAGAAGAATGGATGGTGAATTAATTAATCAGTGAGCAAAACAATGAATGGACAGATCAATAAACTAATGAGCCTTTGGGTAATGAATGGCTTCAAAGTGAGGGTCAAGACGTGTAGAGTCGGTGGAAAGGGTGTGGTGTGTGTGACACTGTCTCTAATCGAGTCTCCCGTTTGTCTTTATTTCTGTAACTGGTCATGGCAGGTATAATCGCTCATTGTAAGACATCATGTACGTAAATCCTTTCCTGCTCTTTGCCTCTGTCTTGCAGGTGTGAGCGGCATCTCTTCACCACGGTGGTGTTTGGTCCGTACCGAAGCCCGGGTGGGGATGTGAAAGCCCCCACTCTGCACATGAGCGGTGCAGGTCAACAGGAACACCTGGCTCCAGCCACGGTCGCAGACATGTCAGCCGTGGAGTAGTGTGGACGCTTTCTCGCACCTTCTCAGGGTTTCCGTCCTTCTGGGTTTGTTTCACTGACCTTCTTTTATGGTTTTGTGGCTGGACGTTCACCACCAAGGCCGGCACCATGGGGGATCAGCAGCTGTACAAGACCAACCACGTGGCCCACAGCAGTGAGAACCTTTTCTACCAACAGCCACCACTCGGCGTCCACGGCGGGCTGAACCACAACTATGGGAATACAGTCACGGGGGCCGGCATGGATGCCCCTCAGGCCTCACCCATTTCCCCCCACTTCCCTCAAGATACTCGGGATGGTCTAGGCTTGCCTGTTGGCTCCAAAAACCTTGGCCAAGTGGATACCTCGAGGCAGGGAGGGTGGGGTGGCCACGCAGGGCCTGGAAACCACGTCCAGCTCCGTGGCAACCTGACCAACTCAAACATGATGTGGGGGGCGCCAGCCCAGGCTGAGCCCTCCGAAGGCTACCAGTACACCTACTCCCAGGCCAGCGAGATCCGGACCCAGAAGCTCACCAGCGGTGTCCTGCACAAGCTAGACTCTTTCACCCAGGTGTTTGCCAACCAAAACCTGCGGATCCAGGTCAACAATATGGCCCAGGTGCTGCACACCCAGTCAGCAGTGATGGATGGAACCCCTGACAGTGCCCTCCGCCAGCTGCTGTCCCAGAAGCCCATGGAGCCCCCAGCGCCGTCTGTCCCTTCCCGCTACCAGCAGATGCCCCAGCAGCCTCACCCAGGTTTCACTGGCGGGCTGTCCAAACCAGCTCTCCAGGTCGGGCAGCTCCCTAGCCAAGGGCACCTGTACTATGACTACCAGCAGCCACTGGCTCAGATGCCAGTGCAGGGAGGACAGCCGCTGCAGGGCCCACAGATGCTGTCCCAGCACATGCAACAGATGCAGCAGCACCAGTATTACCCGCAGCAGCAACAGCAGCAAGCTGGGCAGCAGCGTATGTCCATGCAAGAAATGCAGCCGCAGCAGCCGACTCGCCCGTCACAGCTCCAGCCGCAGCCACAGCAGCAGCTGCAGCAGCGGCAGGGTTCCATGCAGATACCTCAGTATTATCAGTCCCCACCCATGATGCAGCACTTGCAAGAGCAGCAGCAGCAACAGATGCACCTGCAGCCCCCTTCCTATCACAGGGACTCCCACCAGTACACCCCGGAGCAGGCACACGCGGTGCAGCTGATTCAGTTGGGCTCCATGCCCCAGTACTACTACCAGGAGCCCCAGCAACCCTACAGCCACCCCCTCTACCAGCAGAGCCACCTGTCCCAGCACCAGCAGCGTGAGGACAGTCAGCCCAAGACTTACCCAGGCGAGAGGCAGGCCCAGGCCATGCTGAGCTCCCATGGGGACCTGGGGGCGTCTGATACAGGAATGGGAGACCCAGCCAGCTTGGACCTGAACCGGGTTAGCGGCGCCCTCCCGCATCGGCCGCTCTTGTCCCCCAGTGCGATCCACCTCAACAACGTGGGGCCTCAGCACCAGCAGCTGTCTCCCGGCGCCATGTGGCCCCAGGTATTCTCACCGTGGAAGTTTTTCCCGGCATCTCAGCGACGGGGCCAGCCAGGCCGAGTCTACATGGTGCCCAGTCCTCTCTCCAACCCCTTCAACCCTTTTGTTCTTTATTCGTTCCACACACCTTAACCTACCTGTGCTACATGTGCCAGGCACTTCTATGTCAGGTGCTTGGAATACAGAATCAGGTTTGACTCCGTCCTTTGCCTATAAAAACCTTCTAATCTCACTAAGAAAATGGCCAAAACACCACATCAGGTCCTGAATGATGTACGTGATGACTAAGGCCTTGAGTTACGTGCCCGGGGACCACACGGCGGGAGTGTCTGGCTCCCCTTGGATCTGTCATTGGGGCTGTCCTGTGAAATTGTCCCCCTTTTGGGAGGGAGATCACATTATGATAGCACTTCTCAAAGTATATTGCTCAGAACAGGAGTTCCATAGAATGTTCACTGTTTAATGAATATTGCTGGGGCCAGGCGAGGGCTGGGTTGAGGTTTCTTAAAGTGAAACAGGGCTTCTCGGTGCCTTTAAAATGCTGATGTGCACTGTGACTCTCCCAAAGGGGTACTGCATGTAGTTACAGAGATGAAACCTTAGCGGCCCACAGGATCCAGGCAGGTAAAGTGAATGAGTGAAATGGCCTGGGATGAGATCAGCGGCAGCAGGGTGACTGCGGTGGCCTGGAGAGCATGTGCCCCACCTAATGGCATCCTTATTCAGGATTTTAACGAACAGTCTGGCCACACAGAACATGTCCGTAGACCAGACCTAGCCTGTAGGCCACAGTTATTAAACCTTGCTTGTTTCCCAAATGCATTTGACCACAAAGCAGCCAGCTGTGGGCCGGGTATTGCTCATGGGCCGGCATAGTCCAAGTGCTACCCTCGTATGACAGTGCGGTCGGGGGAGGGGAGGACCGTGACCAGGACAGGTTAGGTGGAGAGAGGGCTCTGATGGAGATTGAAGGCCAGAGATGAACTCCCCTTGATTCTGTTTTGTTAGGGGCTTGGGCCCAGTCGTAACTGAGAGCCTTTGTGATAGAAGAATAAGATGACATGGTCAAGGCCGGGAGAGAATTTCAGCGGCAGGTCTCTGATATTGTTTCACACAGCCCTCCATTCTGTGTCTCTCCGGGGTTGGGGCCTGGCTATGCACAGTCGGGATGTGAGTCCCGCTGGGCTGTGGCTGGTGGCAGCTCCTAGAGTGGCCGTGGCTAGGGAGCAGTCCCGGGGAGGAAGTCTCAGGAGTGGAAGAGTGCGGGAGTGAGCAGCTGTGAGCACGGCCAGTGCCAGGTGGAAAATGGGCAGAGTCCGGGAGGTACGGCCCCGGGGTTCCCCTGCTCAAGGACTCCTCCCGTCAAAAACGCTTTTTTTTTTTCCCCTCTTCTTTCTTTCGGTGTCCTGCATGGCTCAACATTAGATGCACCTACCGGATGGCAGAGCCCAGCCAGGGTCCCCTGAGTCAAGGTAGGATGGATGTGAGGTGGCTCATTGGCATTTTGGGAGACTGGGGTTTTTTCCCTGCATTGTCCCTCATGATTCATTTCCAAATTCAAAGTCAGTTCCTCAAAGAAGTTTATAGGGATAGTAATAGCAGCTGTTGAGCACTGACTATGTGCTAGGCACTCTATATTATGTGTAATCAGGTAACCCAGCGAGGGTGGGCGTGATTACCATGTGCCCAGATAGAGTGAGCACTCAACCACGGCTAGCTATTATTTTACAAACGTGAAAACTGAGGCTCCGAGTTTAAACGTGCACATCAAGTAAGCAGCAAAGCGTGTGTCCTGTCTGCTGTCCATTCTTCAGTCAGTATGTATTGAGTACCTACTGTGCCGGCATGGAGCTAAGCTTTGGGAATGCCACCGTGAATACTTCAGACTTGTTTCCTCCCCTCGTGGGCATGGTAAATAATTAAAGACGTAGCCAGAACCCAGTGAAGCACTAAAATGTGGAGGCTGGAAGCTGAACCCGAGGCCGCGTCTCTGAGGGAAGGTTCTGGAAGAAGTGTGCCTAGCTGACCCTAGAAAGGTAATAATAAGCCACCGTAGGAGGGAAAAAAACTAGCACCTGAGGCCTGGGACGAAGAAGAACATTTTGTTCAACTCTTGCATGACTTTGAACAAGCCCTTTCCCCCTCTTGAGCCTGTTTTCCATCTGTCAATCGGGCTTAGCTCTCTGCAGAGTATTGGGGAGATGCAGTTGGGGCCGTGGATATGGGAGCACTGAATGAATAAAATGGGTTTGTTGTCGGGTGTGAGGTCCTGGATAAATCCGTTCCCCTTCCTCACGTACGTGTCCTCTCTGTCTGCCCCCCCCCGCCCCCCCCCGCCCCCCCCCCCGGAGCAGCGGCCAACCGAAAGCAGTGTTTGGAGAACAGATGGATGCCAAGAGCAAGCTGACGTGCTCCATCTGCCTGAAGGAGTTCAAGAGCCTGCCTGCCCTGAATGGCCACATGCGGTCCCACGGGGGCATGAGGGCCTCCCCCAGCCTCAAACAGGTTAGCCGGTGCCAGCCGCCCGCCCTTCCCAGGCCATGTGCTGCTTGCTTTGCTTTGCTGCCATCAGAGAGTGAGGTGAGCCCTGTGCGGGCACCTGGGGAGGCACAGTCCTTTCTTAACGGGAAGGCCTAACCTTAGACGCTGGGAGCCAGTCAGGTCCGGCAGCCCCCACTTCCACCGGCCTCGTGAATGAGGGCCAGAATCAGAAGTGCTGGAAACCCTCTTAGGGAACCCAGCCTCCCACCCCCTGGAGAAGACAGCCAAGAAACATGTAGGTGTGATATTATTTTCAACTTCTGCTTAAAGCAGCCAAGACCAAGGTCACGTGGGCCTTCCAGATGAGTAGTCGATGGCCAGCATGTGGCCACCAGGCTGTCAGCCAGCTTCTTCTGTTCTCCAGTGCAATAGTGTTAGACTCTAGCGTCCAAAGAGCTTTAAATGCCTTCAGGATTATCCAGGTAGGATACCCATGTCGTGACCTGTCCAAGCAGTTTGAGAGTTAGATTAAAATTCAAAGAATTTCTCGGTTCTTTGAATACTGTTGAGGAATTAACTCCCTGTTCATCAAAGTGTTGCATTACCCGGGTCACTCCATCTCCTGACCATGCCAGATAAAAGCTTTGTCTTCCATTTAACAGATGAGTAAACTGAGGCCCATAGAATGTATTCAAAGGTCCTACACAAGAGGGTGTGTTGTTGGTTTTTTGCCTGATTACAAATCCATATCATTGTCTATAAAAGCAGTGACAACCACCAAAAATTTTTAACATGTTTTAATATACAAGTGACGCATGGTCAAGATATGTAAAATGTAAACAAGAGAGTGCATGGCCTTGTCTGCTGCCCACTGGCATCACTCGAGCCAAGGAGTGCAGTTAGCAGGAAGGAAGCTGCCCCGCAGCGGTCCTCCGTCCCCTGCATGATGTCCTGGACCCTGTCAGGAAAAGCAGAGTGATCCCCCCTGTGAGAGCTGCTCTCAGCCCAGGATCAAAGCCTTTATTGTCTGTGTAGGAGGAAGGAGAGAAGGCCCCGCCACCGCAGCCCCAGCCACTGCCGCCTCCACTGCCACCGCAGCTCCCTCCTGAGGCAGAAAGCCTCACGCCTATGGTCATGCCCGTGTCTGTCCCTGTCAAGCTTCTCGTGCCCAAGCCCAGCTCTCAGGGCTTCGCCAACAGCGTCGTTGCCGCCCCCTCCGCCAGAGACAAGCCAGCCAGCTCGATGTCGGACGACGAGATGCCCGTGCTCGTGAGGATGACCCTCTCTCCCCCACACTCACCCCCAGGGGCTGTCCCCTGCACGCCTGCTGTGAGTTGCTGCTCTGTCCCTCGTGCCTGGGGCGGGAACATCCCTTTGCTTTCTTGGAGATGGGGACAGATCTTCCAGGGCCACTGGCCTGAGCTCAGAGAGGGGTTGGCCTCTCAGGACTGAGCCCCCGAGGCCGCCTTGAGAATCCCAGCCTTGCCCACACTGCCCACTACCCGGAAACTCCTGGTCTTCTACCGGCTGATGGTCTGGGTTAGATCCTAAGAGACCTGAAGGTATTCCCAGGTTGAAACAAATCTTAATTCAGCTCGTAACCAGAGTTATTAAAATATGCAAATATTGTCCCAGACAATAAAATGTTGTTGCCCAGGGTCCTGTCCACCCCCAACCCCCTTCCAGAGCTCTAGACCTCCCCAAATCCAGCAACCAGAGATATAACCCCTGGCACAGCAGGGCCTTCAGGCAGTAGCCCTGGCATCCATTCTGATGGGCAGCCTTACCAGATACTTAACATTTTCTGTATCACACCTGCGTAATATACCTTTGGAGGAGCTAATTGGTTATGGTTCCCAAAGTAATTCCACTGACAGACACCCACCCCCAGCCTCAGGAAAGCAAAGAGATTTGTGTTTCTCACCCACTGTTAAGTTCTCATTCTCTTTCTCTAATTCCAAGTGCTTCATCCAGGCAGCTTAGCCTGGCTCTGGAGCAGAGATCTCGCTGTCTCTCAGTTTGTCTCCCCAGGGAGTCTGTAACTCCTGAGGTTGTCCCCTCCCCACAAGTGGTTTCTGGGTCCGATTTGTCCTTGGGAGAATAGATAGCTGCTGGGATTCCAGGAGGCATGAGGGTGGGGCTGACCAGATTAGTAGGGAGGGTAATTAAGAGAACTGGAGAAGTCCACAAAGAGCCTTTTTGGTTCTCTGTGTAATAGCAGAGCCTCAGAAGAGGGGACTGATGGAGAACTGGGAGATAAGGAGTCTCATCGCTGGCAGGACTTAAGGTCAGCCACAGGCAGGGCGATGAAATGACAGAGCCAAGCTCGCCCTTTGCCCAGGGAAGTTCCTGATTTGGTGGGAGAGGCGCTGTTTCTACCCTTGGAGAGCTCTCCGCCTGAAGCTGGAGACAGTGAGGTTCCTAGCCCCCCTGGGGTCAGAGCCCCAGGCAGCTCAGTTCCTAACAGTGAGGTAAAGACCAAGCAGATGAGAAACGGAAGCCGTGGGTGCAGGGGAACACACCTGGGAGGCCAGAGTGATCAGGGGCTGGGGAGAGAGACAAGGGAGTTTGTAGGAGTTTGCTCAGATCACCATGAGGGAGAAGTGGGGAGATAAGCTGAAGTGGAAGCCTGTAGGTGATACTGAGGAAATGTGAGCAAGGTCCTGACATTTGCTATAAAGAAATGAAAATGCCCAGGGAGGTGCCCTGAGTTCTAGTCCCAGCTCTGCTCGTAGCCAGCTGGGATGCAGGCGGCTGCGACCCTCCCCTCTCAGAGCCCCCGGTTCTCTCCAGACCAGGGCTTGGCCTCACGGGAGAGCTTTTGCAATCTCTCAGTGTGTGGCCCCACCTCCAGAGCCTCAATAGCCTGGTGGGGTGGAACACTGTCACTGCTTCCTCTCAAGTGACATCCAGGCCGGACACTAGGGGTGGCTTCCCCGGCCCAGGTCTCACAGCCTTGCCTGGAGGAGAACAGAACCAAAGGCTCAACAGAGGAGCCCCAAAGGGACCTCTGGCCCTGGGATCAGAGGTCTGGACTCTGGTGCAGGATTGAAGTCATGTGAGCTCTGCACGTGCTCAGATGACCTCATTCGTTACCCAGGAACAAGGTGTAAAATTTCAGGATTGCTCCCCAACGATTTCCTCTCCTCGTTCTACTCAGCCCCCCTGTCACTGCCTCAGCCTCAGGCCGAGAAGAGCCCTCTGGTGCGGAGAGGAGGCAGCCTGAGGCGCTCTGACCTCAGGAGAGCCCCTTGGGCATGAGCTGGGAGCCTTGGGACTCTCTGCTCCTCCTCCTCTCCCCACCCTCCTGCTTCCCTAGACTGCCCCCCAGAGGCGGGGAGGGCCCCAGAGGACAGACTGAAGCTGAGGGAGAAACAGGAGGGCGCCCCCTGAGCGCTGCAGGCAGCCACAGGGGCCTAGAGAGCAAGGAGCCCAGGACAGGGGACTCGGGCAGGTCACATGGCCTGGAGGCAGTTGGTCACATGACCATGGCCAGCCCTTCCCATCAGCCCCTGCTGCCTTCTACTCAGGCACCAGCCTGGGCTGAGGAATTGCCAGGGGCTGCAGCTGGGGCAGGCACTGGCCTGCAGGACCGGGGAGGGCACCTCAGACTGCCCCCAGCCTTCCTGCAGGTACCGCCACCGCCCCTCCCAACCTCACCTCTGCCCGCCCAGCCGCACCCAGCCCTGGGTTCTCGTGGGCTGATGCTGGCACACCACCCAAGCCTGTCTGTCCAGCTTTGGCATGCCCTGCTTACCTATGGACGTGCATGTGTTGACTTATTACTATACATGTGCCCGTGTGCAGACCTTCCAACGGGCTGGGCTCCGCGGCCGCGATGGGAACTCGCCTGCTGACAGGAAGCCCAGTGGGAGAGGGCATCACAGATGCGCCTCGGCGTGGGGGCAGCAGTGGGGGGCGGAGGCGGGGGGAGCTTTTAGGGGAGCCCATGAAGAGGGGCCTTCAAGAGCACCCATGGCTCCTCAGCCCCCAGGGTACCTGGGAAGGGGAGCCCAGGGTGGGTGGCCGGCCCTGGGAGCCGGGCGAGGCCCAGCTGCCCTCGTAGCTGATCCTGCCCCCTCCCCCGAGCGTGTTCTCTGCCCCCCAAGCCTGCCCTCAGGGAGCCTTGGGGACTTCAAGGGCCACTGGCTGGATTCCACACCGCAGATGGGAATGCGGGATAAGCCATAAAGAATGCGAATTGATTCCCTCTTGCCCAACCACTGCTCCGACCAGCCCCCGCCCGCTCCAGACGTTCGGGATTTCCTCCAAACCCAAGGCTTCTCCTCCTGCAGCCACCGGAGCTCGCCTCGTCCGACCATGGACGGGGCTGCTGGGTGCAGCCCGAGGACCCTGGGGTCAGGCCGTGGCAGGGGGTCCCCGGCTGCATAGAGGTTGCCCTTCCCTCAGGCTGTGGAAGCGGCCTGCGGGGCGAGCATTGAACCGGCTCCTTCTCCCGTTTCAGGACGCGCCCAGGAAGCCCCCGCCCGGGGTCGCCAAGGCCGAGCAGCCCGCGCCGCTGGCGCCCGCACCCGCACCCGCGCCGGCCCCCGCGCCCGCGCCCGCACCCGCACCCGCACCCGAGAGGAAGAAGTTCCGGCACCGCCCGCAGCCGCTCTTCATCCCGCCGCCCTCCCTCCACCCCGGCCCCGCCTCCCACTCGGGCGCCACCCTCTACCAGAGCCAGCTGCGCTCCCCGCGCGTCCTGGGGGACCACCTGCTCCTGGACCCCGCCCACGAGCTGCCCCCCTACACGCCCCCGCCCATGCTGAGCCCGGTGCGCCAGGGCTCGGGCCTCTTCAGCAATGTCCTCATCGCGGGGCACCCCGGCGCCCACGCCCAGCTGCCCCTCACGCCCCTGACGCCCACGCCGCGCGTGCTGCTGTGTCGCTCCAGTGAGTCACCCCTGCGCCCCTCGGGGACCCCGGGGGTTTCTCCCCGTCTGTGCTGGGCATTGCACTGGGGGGGTCTCACTTTTCTGTCCTTGTCTCTTTGCACCACCGACTTCTGTGGCGCGTCTCCTCCGTGGCCCAGGCTCGGTGCTGGTTGCTAGAAATACTATTTGCAAAAGCGTGGAATGCTTACCCTCAGGGGATCACGGTCTAGCCAGGGGCAAACGCAAAGGGGGTGATAATGGCAGCCTCTGTGGGCTAAGGAAACAGGTGACCTGTGCGGACACTAAATCAGTCGGTGCCCTGGAGAATCCAGGGAGGCGCCCCAAATAAATGTGCTAAGATGTCTAAATAGGACCAGGTATGCTCTGCAAGACCAGGCCTCACGTTTTAGCGGGAGGGAATCTCAGAGGGAGGGCCCGGTGGGTGAGTGGGAGGGAAGAGATCAACCAAACAACTTGTGTGCATAGATGCATAACCCTTGATCACAGACAATAGGTGAGGAAGGCCTGGGGCAAGGGCTGGCTACACAGGGGTCAATGGCGGGTGGCGGTAGGGAGAAGACATGTAATACTTTAAACAATAAAGATTAAAAGAAAAAGAAGAAAAAAGATGGAGAGACCCGTGGCCGGGATCTCTTTCTGGAGCAAGAATAGTTTTATAGAAACACACAGCTTAGCAGACCAGAGTGCTGCAGGCAGCTGCCTTCCCTTCCCCTGTGTGGGAATGGTTACCCTAAGACCCTAAGCCAGTTAGCAGTACCACGCTGCGTCCAGCTCCCTGGAGGCCACTGGGAGGAACTGGCATGGGCGGGGTAGGAGGGCTCTGCTGTGACTGCGTAGGTAACTGTTATTTGCTCCAGTTTCTTGAGTGCCCTCCCCCTGTTGACCAGTGACTCTGGTTTTTGTGCTTCAGACAGCATCGATGGCAGCAATGTGACAGTCACCCCCGGGCCCGGAGAGCAGACCGTTGATGTTGAACCGTAAGGAAAAGCCAATTCTTCTGTAGCACAGGAGCCTCAGCTGAGGAAAGGGAGGAGGAGCTCTGAGAAGTGGAGTTCATACGTCTGGGGTGGGAGTGGCCACTGAGGGAGAGGTTGTAGAAATTGTAGGATCCTGATTATTTCTCTGTAATTTCGTGTTTCAAGGCCTTTGCCAAAGACTAAGTGCATAATAAAGCCTGAAGCCCTGGATTCAGAGAACCTAGCGTCCCCATCGCTGGCTCCATGGGCCATCGGGGCTGTGGTCAGATGCTTCCACATCTCCAGTGACATTGACGCATCTCTCTCCATCTCTCTGGGTGCCCAGCTCTCTACGAGGCTTCTTCCAAATGTCTTTGCTTCCCCCATCCCCTCCCTAAGATTCTTGGCCAGCCCTCCCGATGAGCTTGTTGGGTCGTGGGTGGAAGGAAAAGTTGGTTATATGCATGGAGGAGCACAGAAAAGAGGCCCTGAGGTGGAGTGGGGAGTAGATTGAGTCGGGAATCAGAAAACCTGAGTTCCAGCCCCATTGTGCTACTTGATCTTAATCAAATTAACCTTTGTAGGCTTTAGTTAACTCATTCATTAAATGGGAATATTTTTCACTGCCTTGATTATGTCACAGAACTTCGATAGTTTCAGATGAGATAGATGGTTTATGTGAGAGTGACCTGAAAGAGATAAGAAATGAATAAGCACTTTGTATCTGTCCCGTTTCTCCTGGTTGAATGGTATCCATATGCTCTTGGCAGCTGTTCCCTTGGAGTTAGCACCTTCCATCTCTCAGTCATAGGGAGAGATGAAGCCCAGCTGACTTCTCCCTTGCTTCCCGCAGCATCGCCCCCCAATCTTAAAGCTGTCCCTTATCCCAGTGAAAAGGCCACGCCTGGAATCTAGGGTCACACTTAGGAAATGCCCCTGCATTCTTCTTGCAGAGGAACTGGTTTCCTTCTTTTTAAAGTTCCTAACAGTTGCCCTTGGCCTCTAATTGACGACCACACTGTTGTTTTTCTTGTCATTAAAGGCGCATCAACATTGGCTTGAGATTCCAAGCAGAGATCCCAGATCTGCAGGATGTCTCTGCCGTGGCCCAGGACACACACAAGGCCACATTGGTCTGGAAGCCCTGGCCAGAGCTGGAAAACCACGACTTCCAGCAAAGAGGTACAGTCGAACCTCGGTTCTCGAAAGTCTCCCATCTCAAACAGTTCGGTGCTCGACCAAGATATTCCCCCTTAAAAATGTCTCTATTGGCGACTAAAACTTCAGTGTTTGACCTGACAGCCCTTTCATACTGATACTTCAGCATAACAAAAAGCATCCTTCAGGCAACAAACAAAGAAAGAGAATGCTTTTGTTGCTGGTGAAATCACAATTTTAAAACATAAAGAGGCCATCAAGAATGCTAATGTTGCCCTAGCCAGTTTGGCTCAACGGATAGAGCATCAGCCTGCTGGGACTGAAGGGTCCCCAGTACGATACCCGTCAAGGGCACATGCCTGATCCCCAGTAGGGGGCGTGCAGGAGGCAGCCAATCAATTACTCTCTTTCATCATTGATGTTTCCAGCTCCCTCTCCCTTCCTCTCTGAAATCAATAAAAATATATTTTTTTAAAAAGGAGTTGCTAAGGGTGGGAAAGTGTTCACAAAACAATCACAGGCAAGTGAATATGTAGAAAAACTGTTGTTGATTGGATAAAGGAAAAGCAGTTAGTTGGTGATAGCATTTCCAAGGCAATGATATATGAAAAATTTGTTTAAGGCTAGTAGGGGATGGTTCTATAAAGTTAAGAAAAGACGTGTTTATTTACAAATTAAACAGTACATTAGATATGTACTGTCTATAAGAAAGGTTAAAGCAGAATCATTTGAGGGTCTGGAACGTATTAATTCAATTAGCATTATTTCCAATGGGCAAAGATGATTCGGTTTTCCAACACATCGGTTTTCGAACAGTCTTCCGGAAAGAATTAAGTTCGAGAAACAATGTTCCACTGTATTGTCATGTGGGAAGAAGTGAGCAGGAAGGCTTGATTCTCTCACAGGGTCCCTGGCTCCCGGACCTGTGTGTTTTCCATGGTACTGAGCTCTCTGATGCAGTGGCCTCTTGTTCCCCACAGTGGAGAATCTCCTGAATTTGTGCTGTTCAAGTGCGTTGCCAGGTGGAGGGACCAATTCTGAATTTGCTTTGCACTGTCTCTTTGAGGCCAAAGGTGATGTGATGGTAAGGAGCCACGAAAAGTCGTCTTCACAGTTCATATTCTTCATGCCAGGATTCTGAAAAGTATTTTCCCAAATTTCTGGGTTGTCCCATGTACCGTACAACTAATTCATGAGATGATGTCCCGTCAGCGAACCTCCTGTTTCTTATCTCAGTAAGTCAGGATTTAAAAGCCTGTAGGAAAACCCCTCTTAACCAAAATGGAGTGTTTGCATATTCTCGCACCTTTGACACAGTTCTTTGGTCAAACCAGAACTTTGGTGCCATCTCTCCAGAATCAGAGCTGACCATTTGCCCGCTCAACCTGGACTCCAGGCGAGGTCATTCAGACACTAACCTTAGTTTCCTCTTCAGTAAATACATGATTCTTGTACCAGATCTAGCTTCCTGCTTTTTTATTTCAAGAAAATCTGAAAGTAAGCAAATGCCCTAATGCTCCCTTCTCGTGAGGTTATTGATACCCTTCAAGGGTTTTTTAGAATGTTGGGGAACTTTCCTTAACCCTTTCAGATTAGTATTGAGGAGCAGCACTTCTCGAACTTTAACATGCACATGAGTCACTCGGGGAACCTGGTTAAAGTGCAGGTTTTTATTCCAAAGTTCTGGAGGTGGGGCCTTTGCCACCAGCTCCCAGCTATGCCCGTGTTGCTGGTGTGTGGACCACACTTGGAGTACCACGACGCTGGATCTTGCTCTGCCCGTCAGCCACCCACTGCTCAACTCCGCCCGCAGCGTTTTTCTTAAACAGTCAGCGAGGCTAAAGGAGACAGATTTGAAAGGATGTATGTAGCTAGGTTCTCTGGGAGGACACTGTCTAGTACAGTTATCACTAATGCAGCTCCTGATGTTTAGTTGTAATGAAATATGATTTTTCTGCAAAAACAGTTTCAAATCACCCACTCACTTCCTCAGACTCTTTCCCCAGATACTCAGCCTGCATTTAGAGGGGGCCCCACCATCTCTCTGAGACTGGGCCCTCACCAACAAGGGGGATTAGGGTCTCAGGCCTGACCAGCTGGTTGCAGGCATGGGCTGGGGGATGGTTAGAGTGGCGAGCCCTGTGGGGTGCTGACCAGAAAGGAACTCCCAATTAGGGGGTCTCCCTCTGGTTTGCCTTCTAGTGCCCTCAACCCCTCACTCTGCAGTGCCGGTCCCTGTGCCCCCTTAGGCAGATGGTCTCCTCGGGACACAGACCCATTACTGACTCTCGCCTTTTCTCTCCCACGGGTCTGCAGGCTGCTCTGGAAACGCTGCTGCTGCGGAAGCCGGTCAGGCTAAAATGTCACCCTTTAGCCAATTACCACTATGCCGGTAGGTCGCCCGCGGCCCCGCGCCCCTGCTTCCTGCGCGTGGGCTGTTGGCGTGTTTGGTTGTTGCCTTTTTAATGGTAGATAGCGTGGTTCAGTCCTCATCAGCGCTTTTGATCTCCAGGCTTCCCGAGGTAGCTGATGGGGCAGCCGTGTGTGCTGGGCACTGCTGAGTGGTCATCTGTCTGGGCTCCTGTCCCCTGTGGGTGTGCCAGGAGCTGGGCAATAGCGGGCCGTGCCTGCGCATGTGGCAGGGAGCCCTGTGCGTCTGGGGAGAGGGGCGTGTGGGATACAGCACAGAGGCAGCAACGCGCAGCAGCACCTCTGCTCTGGAGTCAGTAGATGTAAAATGGGGCTTATGCTCCATCTCTTGCGGTGTTTTGTAAAGATTCAAGATAATATATATAGCCCGGATGCCTGGCATGTTCTAGAGGCAATTATTTTTCATTTACCTAACAGTTATGTATTGAGCACTTACTGTGTACAAGGACTATGCTAAGATGAAACGGTGACTAAGACAGACATAGTCAGATTCCTATGTCATGCAGTGTAGAGTCTGAGATGGAGGCAGTTATTAAACAACGGGTTGCACTGAGAGCAGGAGAAATGGTGCATATACACATATGTAAACAAAACACGTATACATACACGTGAGCGTGTCTCCTGAGGGTTAGATTACCGGTGGCATCACCAATAAGAGGGAGGGAGGAAGCACCTTTGAGCGCTGAATGGAGTGAGCACTATGAGAGAGAAGGAAACAGTTTGGGGAGCCTAAGAGATGACACATGAGTCAGCATTTTATTCCCATTAACTTGTAAACCCATCCATTCTGAGGGTCCCGACGAACCCGCCTGGGTTCTGTCTTTCAGAGGGGGCTGGGCCCTCCAGTGCCCCTTGATTATTCATCATTTGTTTGTTTCCTTGGTGCCCTGGGCAGACCCTGCATAGGTAGGTGCTAAGTACATTAGTGGGTCTGGGGACCTCAGAATACCTTTTCCAGTCCTTGGTCCAGACGGCCTGCGGTGAGGGCTGCTTTTCAAATGCTGGAGCTCCCAGTGGGCCTCCTGTCGCCACCGCCGTTTGCCTCACTTCACCTGCTCCTCTCATGCGTTGGCCTTCCTGCCTGTCATCTCAGGATAGAGAGGCCTCAGAAGCCGCTCACCTGAGCACAGCAAGCCCAGCACACAGGCCACCGCTGGAACTGGGCCAGGGACAAAATAGACACAAGGGATCAGAAAGCCATCATTGAACCGGTGGCCTAACTAGCAGTCTCTTAATATTGTTTCCATCATTTCCTGCTGGGTGTCTGCCTGAGTGCGGGTAGGAAGATGTGGGCATTCTCCCTAATCTGCCACTGAAACAGTGTAATCCTCTCCTAATTCCGAGTGTCCGCTGCTGCCCATTAGACCCTGACAGGCTGTCCAGCCTCCTGGAGCCTCAGCTTCTTTGCATGGCAGGTGAGATGGTTGGTTGATGAGCAGGAGATTCTGAGCCATCCGCTGGGAGAGGCAGCTGCTCTGGGCCCGCAGGTGCCTGGGGCGGACGTGCCCCCAGGCCGGTCAGCTCCAGCTGTGAACAGCCTCACCTGAGACCCTCATCCCCTCCAGTTCTTCCCAAGCAAATATTGTTATTTTTTATGTGTGACATGACATCAAAAAGGTTAGAGAGCTGGGGACTAGAAGCCACCTTCCACCCCAAACAAAACAAAAATGCTAAGATAATACCAAGAACTTTGAAATGTGAGGGCCCTACACGCTGCTGAAATGAATCGCTCTGTTGGAGTCGGGGGCTCCCAGCTAACCTTTACCCAGCCCCTGCCGCAGCCCACAAGCAGACCGGGAAGGACCCCGTTTCTTCCTGGAATCATTTCTCCCCTTGGAGGCAAGAGAGGTGGAGCTGCGGTGTGAAGGGCTGGTATCTTGCCAGCTGTGTGTCCCCGAGAAAAGAGTGCTCATCTACGTCCGCCAGTCCTTTGCCTTCTCCAAGAAGTGATCCAGACTGGACGCCAGAGAACCTTCTAGAATTATGACCAAAAGGGCAGAGGTCACTGGTCTGTAAAGTCTGACCTGACTCCATTCCCTTAACATTTCCCTTCCAAGCCACAGGGGAGGCCACAGGACTTACCCCCTCACATGCCCAGCTCCCAGCCACTCCCTCCCTGCCCCCTCCTTATGTGGCTCCCGGTGCTGGTTAATCCCACCCCTGTGTCCCCCCTGCGTTGGCCTCTGTGCCAAGCCCCATTGGGCTGCTCTCCGGTGGGACTGTTGTCAGCTCCCTTCCTCACTGGGACACCATCTCCTGGGTGTCCTTTGGCTTCTGTCTCTGTGGCTGTGGCCAGTGTCCCCACCCTGACTCCTGTTCTCCCAGTTGTCCTGAGAGGTGGCTATGGCGGATCTCCCAGGCTGCCTGTGCCCCAGAGGGAAGGCAGAGAGTCTGCTCAGGGAGGGAGGCTGTACATTTGGGGGAGATAGACAGAGACACAAGCCTGTGGAAATCACTTCTCTTACTGTACTCATGGCCTTCCCTTTCCCACCCCAGCCCAAGAAATTCAGTAAGAAAGGGAAAGAGTGACTGATGCCGGGACTCAGGGGAGACATCGGTGTGGGTGGCCAGCTCGCCCAGGTCTGGGGGCTGTGTGCCGGGGCCGGAGGAGCCCTGTGGAGATCCTGGGAGGAAAGTTCGATTGCAGCGGCTCCCTGCGCTCTTTAATCCACACAAGGCGCCCAGTCCAGCCCTCTCGGCGCCCTCCACCCAGGTTGGGTAGCAGTTGTTGGCAGCGGCTCCCCAGCAGCAGATGGATTAGGTGGGGAGGGCTAAGCCTGGTGGGTCAGGGTGGGAAGACGCCTGGTTACAATTAGAGAGCCCGCAGCGTCCTTGGTTTTCCATTGAACTGGCCAGTCCTACACGTGGGTGTGGAGTGGAGGGGGTGTCAGAACTGGCCCTGGGCTTCTTGGCCAGGGTTCAACAGAAGCCGCTCTCCCCACAGCTCACTGGGTCCTGAAGCCTGACCTGGCTCAGAGAGGAGGGAGGCCCAGAGGAAATAAACACCCATGGCGGGGGGAAGCGTGCTCCCTGTCCGGGAAGCTGCCCCAGTGTAATGAGGAGACAGAATGACATACTCAAGAGAATGCTTTTCAAGAAACACAGCTGAGATGTCACTTTCCAGGCGTTCCTCACACATGTCTCTGGCTGCAGAGTGGGCCCCTGGAGGGCAGGAGGTGACAACCGTTCCTCTCTCTGCCTCACGCAGCCCTTGTAAAGAACTGGGCTAGTGGACAAGCTCAAGTTCTGGAATCGAATTGAGGCCTCCCTCCGCATGTCCCCGGAGGGAATGTGGGAGCAGCCGCTTCACCCTGCACCCCTAAAGAGTTACCCAGCCTCCCCCCACGAGGGAAAACCTCTCGCGGAAGTGAAAATCTGGCGTAAAAACAGTCCTTTTTCTACAATGAATATCTTCCTTACATAACTCTAATAACAGTGTCAGTAAAAGTTGTTCATCTTGAAAGGAAGACAGGAAGGCCCTCTTGAAAGATGCCATGCCCAGACTTCTCTCCGTGTCCCTTCAGTCGCTGGGAATTGCTATGGATTGCCCCAAATTTAGCCTCGGTCCAGAGCCTGTCTCCCGGCAACGCACACTCAGAACATGTTTCCTCTGGATACTGTTCCAGCGCCAGTTTCCTCCAGTTAATTAGGCTCTTTGTAATTAGCCTTAATCGCCTTGTTAGGGGCCCCTGCTGATAATAGCCCGAGAGCCAGGAATCTCAGGTAGAACAAATGAGCGCTGGGGGCTGTCAGCCCCTCACTGTGTGCCTGCTGCGCGGACAGCGGGGATCTGAGAGGAAGGCCAGCGGAGGATTTGAGGCGGCCCCCTGCCTCGCTTTTGCATTTCCTCCTGGACTTTGTCCAAGATGCACAGTCCAAGCAGGGCTGCCTTAGAAAACCTTGTCAGAGAATGAGGGAAGCGCTCCTCTGTCAGAACAGAGACTGCAGGGTTGAGCGATGCCTGAGCTTCTCCCTGGCGATCCGGGGCAGGGAGTGGAAGGCTGGGAGTTACGGGTGGCCAGGAGGAAGGCTGTTGTTCATTCATACGCAGAGCAGGGAACACTGGCCAAGCCCCGCTGTCGTCCTGAGTGCCACTCATGCAAGGGTCACAGGAGACAGCGTGTGTCCCATCGCTACCAGCCAGTTAAGGTGTCCAACGTTTCCCTCGGGACCAAATGCTGTCAGTCACAGAGTGCCTGTCCCGATCCCCAAGTCACAAGAGAGGAAGCTGAGACTGGGAGAAGTTAAGGAAACTTGCCTGGGGTCACAGGGGGAGTAAGCGGCAGAACCAGGTCCACCGCCTCTGGTCTCCTGGTGAAAGTCACCCCTTTGTGTCACAGCTCAGCGACATTATTTGGGGAGCACGCATTCAGGTGTTATATTTGTGTAACAGGCTTTAACCTGGAAATTCAGTCCGGCCGCCCAGGGGTGGATTCTCAGCCCGGTGCGGATCCCGTGACCAGGGTGCCTCTGCCTGTCAATTCGCAGCTGTCTGCTCTGAGCGCGTGCTCCCTGCCCCCACCGCTGCAGCCTGGGAATGGGAGGGAGACGAGGACGGCGCGAGAGGGCAGACTTCCAGCCCAGGGCCTGGGTGCGGAGTGAACACTCTGAGGTGGGGAAGACTGAAGACCCCGCCACAGAGCAGCAGCTCTAGCACCACAAGGAGTCGCACGAGGCTTGAGGATCGTCCGTAACAGATGGTCCTGGAAGTCCCCTCCCCTGTGTAGGGTTGCAGCTGGTGAGCCATTTGGGGACACGAAGGGGCATGCTTCTCACAAGGAGACAGACTGACCTGGGAACTTAACACGGCTGCGTGGGCAGTAACCAGGTGGGAGCCCCCCGTGCGGTGGAAGAGCGTCCACTGGAGAGACGGCGCTGGCCAAGGCAGGCTGGGTGTCTCACCAGGTCTTAGCTGGACTCAGACTCGGGAAATGTACGGTCTGGCTGACCGTGGAAAGGATCCTCGTTGACCTAGTTAGGGGTTTTCATCAACAGAATGTCCCTGGTTCCCCATCTGAGATGCAGCCCAGAGCTGCACAGACCCTGGGCCTGCAGCCGGCAGCACATCCGCCTCTTTAGAAACTTCCCCGGGACTCGGCTGCTGTGACACGTCCCCGTCATGATCCTCTTCCACCGTCATTGCTCTGAGCTCTCTATTTTGATGGACACCTGAGAGGATCCATGACTCCTCTTCGGTTGGTCCTCTACATTGCTGGTTCATCCTTTCTGCCTTTCCGTCTCTGCCCCTGGGGCGGGGGGGCGGCGGGGCGGACAGGCATATGGGAGCTAGGCATATGGGAGGCATATGGGAGCTAGGACCCCAAGGCCTGGAATGTTGGACAGAGTTTGAGGAATGGCGATGGGCCTGCTCCAGGGCCCAAATCCCGCCACCCTCCTCCGCTCACGCCCACTCCTGCAGAGCTTCTCCACCTGCCTGCCTCTTCTCTCTGCGGTGGCTCTCACAGCCAGGGGTGCCCCGGCCTCCAGAACCTACGGAAGACGCTGCCTTCTGCTGAGGATGAATCAGAAAACTGCTTTCCTTCTAGAAGTAAAGAAATCAACCAAGTCCGTTGATGGCCCTGATTTCTTCGGGGGTTAAACCAACCCAGCTCTGGAGAGCATATTCTGAGTCAGGACTCAGAGCTCTTGGCCTGAGGACCCACACGGAGGGGTGTTTATTCCAGAAACCTGAGTGTACATCACTAAGTCACGGACTCCAGGATCGTCAACCCCTGCCTGCCCGGAGTGGTTTCACCGGATTCACTAATTTTGGCTGGATCTTCCAAGCGAAGAAGCAACTCAGGTTTCCTGTATTTAAGCCCCATCAATCAACCATAGCAAAGTGGAAACCTTGGGCTTGTCCTGGTTGGGAGGAAAAATAGCATGGTTTGGGGAATTACAGCTTCGAGAAGTAGAGGAATGTCAAAAACACATCCACGTACCATCCCAAGAATTAGAGATAGGAGACTTCAAACAACCTGAAGAATGAGGCTGATTTTCTGCAAAGCCCCTAGAAATAGGCCTTATGTCTTTGCCCCAAAGAGCCCAGGACCATTCTCTACAACCATCTGCATATGCTGCTTTCTCCTTTAGGGAGGAAATAGACATGAATGTCAAGTTTAGCCAGCAAGGCAGATGCACCAGCCCAGCCTTGGGGGCCTCTTCCTCGTTGGTCTGCAGGTCTATCAGGAACTGGTCCCACTCCCGCATCATCTGCTCTCCCTCTGCGGCAGCCCCATAGTCGAAGCACACTGGATTGCTGCTTATTCTGCGAACCCCTCCATTTCCTTAGCTGTGCGATGGGTATTGGTAATACCCATATTGGTTATTGGTAGAACCAAATGACTGATTTCTGTGAAGTGCTTAGAACCTGGCACATCATAAGCACTTTAGAAATGTTAGCTTTTCCCACCAGCACAGCTTCTTACATGTAATAAACACCTAATAAGCATCTCTTGAGTGGATGGGTAGATGAAGGAAGGAATGAAATGCATCCTCTCGTTGCTTGCCTCTGGCTTTGCACACACACTTCCTCTCCCTGGAATTCCCTTCCATCTCCTTGCCCGACTTGCTTCCCTTGTGTCCCTGGAAACTCCACTCGGGTGCCCCGGCCCTCACCTGAGCGTGTGCTCCTTCTTGGCGCCCCACTGGCACCTGACTTCCACCTTCCTCATTGCGGTCATCACCTTGCGTGCAGTGGCTTCCTGGTTCGCCTCCCCCCTGGACTGTGACCCTCCAGAGGGTGGAGACTGCCGAATCCACCGCATGGCAAGGAGCACCTGCTACCCGAATGCCTGCACTCGTGAGCATCATCATGACATAAAAACTGGAGCTAAAATGTGTCTAGCGCGCACTGTTTCCCAGTTCCTCACCTAGTCACTCTGTGCATTGTCTTTAACCTTCATAAATATCCTAAAAGTGGGGACAATTAGAATTATTCCCCATTTGTTGGTAACAGAGTGAGTCTTAGGGTCAGTAATGTGCTAAAATCAAGGCCACAGCTAAGACCGGCCCTTACACTGCACTGGCTTTTTGTTCAGAAAGGAGTTTGATGGATAGTCTGTTATTTGTTGAACAGTTTCATTCTGTACCTTAACTGTGAGGGAACCAGCCACTCAGGCGGGGAGACCCGTGAAGCTGGAACGGCAAAGTGGGGAGAGCTGTGAGCCATTCTTAACGAAGCGTGTGTTTTGTCGTAGGTTCGGACAAGTGGACCTCCCTAGAAAGAAAACTGTTTAACAAAGCACTAGCCACTTACAGCAAAGACTTTATTGTTGTACAGAAGATGGTAAGCATGCCCTTTCCTGTTGCTCGCTTGAAACCGAATTGGGTAATTGTCCATGGAAAGATATGTAGAAGGATTTGTTTCCTGGCCTCATGCTCTGCTAAGGGTGTCTTCCATGCCTGGCTGGGGAAGGGTGGCATGGCCCCAGTGTCACCGGGGGAGGGGGGGAGGACATAGACTATTTGAGAGTGATGGGGGTTTATTTATATCTTCATAAAAATGTGTCATTTATGCATTCTTATTGGAATAAATAGAACTGGGGCCTCTGAGTCACAATTAACATAATTTATTTCATGGGCATTTGATGACTGTCATGTTTCTGACAGAATTTTTTTTCTGGGAAATTGGAGAAGGGAGATGTGCCCTCCCCCCAACCAGTAGTTTCTGGTGTTGGGCTCCTAATCATAATGACAGCAATAGTAAAAATGATGGTTTACGTATATATACAGCACTTCACAGCAGAATGGAACTCTTGCACGTACTAGTAGTCCCAGTAGCACTTTATGCAGCAGATGGAAACCTAATCGGCCTTACTTGGCTCAGAGGCGGTTTAGGCTAGAAGTTAAAATGACTCTGAGTTCAGCAGATCGCTGAGTGACGGAGCATGTTCATTACGTGCTCATGAAGGTGTCCAGGTCCACAGAGAACAGGTGACAGCTCCCCTGGATCCGAGCTGGGCCAGTGGTACCAGGGGTGAGCTGGGGACATGTCTTTAATTGAGGGCCTTGATGGACGGAGCTCTAAATAGGTGGACTTTCTGTCCAGCTGGCCTGTCTCCAGATCTGTATCACTCCCCGCTCCCTGCCCTGGAGGCCACCACATTCTCTGCGCCAGCTCCATGCTCTGATCTTGAGTCACCTGACCTAGGCTTCATTACTTTTTTTTTTTTTTTTCCTCACCCAAGGATATTTTTTCCATTGATCTTTAGAGAGAGTGTGGAAGGGAGAAGAGGATGGGGAGGGAGAGAGAAACATCAATGTGAGGGAGACACATTGACTGGTTGCCTCCCGCATGCAACCCAACCGGGGCTGGGAATCGAACCTGCAACTGAGGTACATGCCCTTGACCGGAAATTGAACCTGAGACCGGGGCTTTAACCATTGAGCAAACTGGCCAGGCCTAGGCCTCCTTCCTTGCAGGCTTCACACCTGTTGACTGAGGATAGATTCATGTGCCGTGCTTGTCAGGAAGCATGGGTTTTTAAGCCAGGGCTCTCTGGGACACTGTCCTCCGCTCCCCCCGCCCCTCCCCCGGCGATTCTAGTGTAGAAATTCAAGGTATCAGGTGGATGTGAAGGGGCAGCTTTGAGGAGATGAGACTCCTGGTGGTGTCCTCATCTTACCGTGCGGTGGCCCTGTTCCCACCCCCAAGGGCACCGCCAGCTTTTACCTGCCTCCAGAAAACCCACATTATCCAACCGCACTCAGAGCTTAGAGGTACATGAACTAAGGAAAGGACTTTTTTCTCTTTAAAACACATTTACCTTTCCCCCTTTGGGGCAAGCGGAGCAAGGCTTGTTTCCTGCGAAAACAGCTTTTGTCATTACAGCTTTGCCTTACGTTCCTGTTCCATGACTAAGGAACATTCTTCATAGATGGGTTTTGAAGGTCAGCAAGTCAGACACCCAGACACATTCCAGCACGTTTAATGCAAAAGCACACTGCTTCATGGGTTAAAAAAGGGAATGAGCTCTCAGAGGCCTGACAGGAAAAAGTCCCCAGGCTACACTGTAAAAAATCAGATTGCAAAACATGCATGTGCTACCTTCTGCGAGGAAAATGTGCTTCTGTGCTTGTTGGTAATATGCTTAAAGATGTTTAACTTATGCGTCCTATTGGGATAAATAGACCTGGGGCTTCTGATTCACAATTAAAATAATTTATTCGTGTATATTTTGACCGATCTATCGTGTTTCTAGCAGAATTTTTTTCTGGGAAATTAGAGAAGGGGAGATGTGTGCCCTCCTCCCTCAAGCCAGTAGTTTCTGGAGTTGGGCCCCTCGTCGTAGTGACAATAATAGTAAAGAAATTCTGGAATGCTGTCCAAGAAATCAGTAAGAGGGGCGATAGCTGTGTTGCCGGGGCGGGGAGTGAGCTGGCTGGCTGGAGAGCAGGCGTGAGAAGGAGATTTCTCTCTGGATGCACTTTCTGTTCAACCGCATAAGCCTGCTGCCTGTTACCAAATGACGTGTTCGCCAGAGCTTGCTGCTCGGAGCTGACCCTGCCCCGGCCCCCGCAGGTGAAGTCTAAGACGGTGGCTCAGTGCGTGGAGTACTACTACACGTGGAAGAAAATCATGCGCTTGGGTCGGAAGCACCGCACACGCCTCGCGGAGCTCGCGGATGACTGTATGGTGAGTGAAGCCGCCGAGTCACTGCTTATGCTGGCCCTGCTCCCACCCCACACCCAGGTTAGTAAGCGGCTGCCGTCTGGTTTGGCTTTGCTGCCCAGGTGGCCTCAGGGAGGGGGTGACGAGCCCGCTCCCTGGTGGGACTCAGGCTCTGACTTTCTGGTGTAGAGGCCGAGGGAAGGCAGCTTGGGTTCGGCCTGTGGCTGTCAGGAGCCAGAGAGTTAAGCCAGATTGGCCCCAGCCTTGGGTGGGTGGTTTTTTTATAAGCAGGTGCCCTGACCCCCCCTGGCACACCCCTTCCTCGTCCTTCCCCATCGTGGACGGTGCTGGCCAGAGAACGTGAGGTGCCTCCCAAAGATGAAGGTGCCTCAGCTTGGCCGTGGCTTCCCTGAAGCACAGCAGGAAGGAGTGTGACCTCCAGATGGGGCTGGGGACGCTGGGTTATTGAGGAACTGCTTAGCAGGGAGTGATCCTTGCAGCCCTCTCATCGCCATGTACCCCTGGTATCATGTGGCTTTGGTCGTTACTGCCCTGTTCACCCTTGGGGGGGCGCTCCTCTCTGTGTCCATGGCCAGGGGAAATCCCACCTGCTGTGGAAAACAGCCCCTACCATGTATGTATGTACAAGGTACATGTCTACAACACATTACCAAACCCCAGCCTCTGTCGTCATCAGGGAACATGGCTAGAATTCATGAATGGGGTGAATATTTGTCATCATACTTTCATTCCCCATGGTGTCCCAGTATGAGTGTTAGCACATATGTGGGGGGTGAGGAGGGTTCTTGAAAAGACACGTTTTTGTGTGTGTGTTTTTAATCTCTATTGTTGCAAGTATTACAGAGGTCCCCTTTGTTTTTTTTCCCATTGACCCCCTGCACCCCGCACCCGCCCTTCCCAGGCTTTGACCACACTATTGTCTGTGTCCGAGGGCCATGCGTATAGGCATGTAAGTTCTCCGGTTAACTTCTCCCGGCCACCCACCCACCCCCGCCTTCCTTCTGAGATTCCTCAGTCGGTTCTTAAAAAGACACGTGCTGTGTACCAGGCATTGTGCTAGGCGCTCACAAACATGGGCTTGTGTAATCCTCATTCCAATTCCATGAGGTAGAAGACTGAGGCACAGAGTAGCTTCGCTGTGGTCAGTGGCTGGGAGTGTGTTGTCTGAGCCTGATTCCCTCATGTAATACTTAAGGCAAATGCAAATTCTGTTAAAGAATGTTAAAAACAGGTGGGCCCACTCAAAAGCCCACGTTCCTAAGTATGGGACCTAGCTCTGATATTTGCACACATGTAAATTTATATCTGGACTCAAATATCAGACGAAATAGACATCTGTGGAGTGGCATGGGGTTTCCATCCTTTTGATTAAAGTGGACAGTGTTCTGTAGAGAGGTCTTCCTGCACCAGGGCTTTTGTCTGACGGGTTGAAGTAGTGATGTGTTGTAGCAGGCTAGCCTTTTGCTCATCTGTGGCCTAATGTTTGAAAAAGCAATGTGATGCGTGGGTTTGGATTAGGGCAGGGCTGTCCCCCTGGGTCTGTCACGGTGCCCCATGCCAGAGCAGACTGTGTGGCCTTGAACCATTTGCCTGCCTCTACCCCTCGGCTCCAGGCACTGGAGACATTAAAAAATAAAAAGAGCAGCCTGGCCTCGTCTGCTTCAAGCCACCAAGGCCAGCTGAGCTCCCGCAGCGTAAGCTGCAATCTGTATGGCGCAGTGGGTGACTCCGGGGTGTTAATGGCCTCTGCCCCTCCCTCCCTCCAGGGGAGCACACGTTCTAGCTGGGAAGATGTGGCATACACAAGAGTGTTTAAAAGCAGCATGCAGTGAGAACAGAGTTCTTAGACATGGCCTTAGGCAATCTCTTTCTCATCCAGCTCCACCATTCCACCGCCAGAGGCTGAGGCCCAGGGACCCAGAGAGGGGGAGAGGCTTGCCCAGGTCACACCGAGCATTGCTTTGCAAATGGGTGGAATAGACAGTAAACAAGGAAGCACAGAGAATCCTGCCCTTGGAGACCCAGGACCCGGCTTCTAGGCTGTGAAATGGAGCAAACAGCTTAGACGATCTGGAAGGTCCCTTCCAACTCTGGAGTGTCCGGGGCTGTCAGAGCCATGGTTTGGAAGAGGCCAAACCAGAGGGTGGGGTTTCCTTAGGCAGAGTGGTGTCTCGGGCTTGGGTGTTATCAAGTGCCTAGGATCGTGTCTGGCATCACAGAGGCACTCAACAAATACTTGCTGAATGAATGAATGAATGAATGAATGAATGAATGAATGAACGAATGAACGTTTTTCTGAGGTGCATAGTAATAATCCCTCTAAGAACTCCCTGGAGGGAGACAGGTGAGCAGTGATCCTGAGCAGAGGGTGCTGCTGAGGAAAAGGTTACCATCAAGGCAAAGGCACCACCCTGGCCAGCAGGGCTGTGAAGAGGGTAGAAAAGCCAGGCCAGCCTATAGCGTCAGGAGCTCTGAGAGGTTGAGCTGGTGCCCGAGGGCCACACCTTCTTGGGCTTAATCACCAGGAGCCAGTACTAAGCTGGATCAGAGCATCCATGCCCTCATGGCCTCTGAGCATAGGGAGCATAGACAGGTATGTGCAGAGATGACTCAGGCCCACAAAAACAAGAAAACCGTGATCTAAGGCCAGTGTGGCAGCTCTCAGCGCCCTCTGGGGCACTGTGAGGGCTCCGTCTCCTGAGGGTAGTTTACAGATGAAAAGTCAGGACCGTGCAAGGACTGGGGAGGGTGCAGAAGGCGCTGTCCTAGGGCAGGGTCCTGCTCTTTGTCCTCCAAGCCTGCCTGGACACGGGGGTAGCTCTGCTGATCACGCGTCCTCAGTGTGTTACTAAAGGGACAGATGGCCATTTCCCCACCTTGGACCATGCTCGGGTAGCTTAGGGGCATGTGTGGGGAGAGGGGAGAGCAGGAGAGTTTGTGAGGAACAGCAGCTCTTTAGGGAACCAGCAGGGTAATCTGCCTTCTGGCCTGAAGCCATCTCAGGCCCTTGTCCCCTCGCAGGCAGAAGGGGCCAAGATGGTCTCTGTTAAGGACATGGGAGCAGAGTGTGCTGACTTCCCCTTCCTGTGCCCTGTCCATTCTCACGATTCCACTCCGTGCAAATCTGTGGGTCTGGCTGTGGCCAAAAGATAACACAATTGAGGAAACTGACACAGTTAACTGTCTTTGGACGACAGCGGTCAAGGCTCCCAGGGCAAAGCTCATCGTGGTCTATGCACCTTAGGTACCTCCATCATGGGCCACCGACCAGGGAACACCCTGCTTCCCTTTGGCATGGAAAGGCAGCTGGTCCCAGTGGCTCTGAGAGGCTTAGGATTTCTGTGTTTGAGCTGAAAACCTAAGCCTCCGTGTACAAGTGGACAAACGCATGCCTGTGGACATTTGCAGCGGGGCCGAGGGGAGAAGAAGGGGGAGGTTTGGGAATCAGATAGCCCAGGTTTTAAATCTCAGTTCAACTTCTTTACCAGCCCTGTGACCTTGGGCAAATTGGTTTTCTGGCTAATTTCCTCATTTGTTTGAAAATTTGGCCTAGCCGGTTGGCTCCATTGGATTAGTGTTGGCCTGCGGACTGAAGGGTCCCGGGATTCCAGTCAAGGGCACGTGCCCAGGTTGCGGGCTCAATCCCCAGTAAGGGGCGTGCAGGAGGCAGCAGATCAATGATTCTCTCTCATCGACGTTTCTATCTCTCCCTCTCTCTGAAATCAATATAAAAATAAATAAGTGATAGATAGATAGATAGATAGATAGATAGATAGATAGATAGATGATAGATAGATAGATAAAAGAAAAATCTGTACATGGCTGTTGTGAGAACTAGCAATGTGTGTGGACCCTGACTCAGCAGTCATTCAGTATACTGTCACCACCATCATCCTTAGTGACTGTAACACTCAGATCTGTGTCTTGGAGTAAATATGGGTTGTTGAACATTTGTATTTTCACTTATAAATCTGGAATATTGATAAATGTTTCGTTTCACAGTACATCATAAAATAGCCAACTTGTTGATAAGAAGTTCTACATGTCAGGATTTTTGTCTTCCTATATTTGTATCTCTTAGTCACTTTGGTGAGCCATTTGGCTTAATGATAAATCATTCTGTGAGCAATCTATCTAAATTCCTAAGACATTATAATCACAGGATGGTATAATTGAATCTGTAATTTTGTGGCTATCTGGAATGTTTCTTCTCAGAGTTCTGGGGGTTTTTTTGTGGGGGTTTTTTTTTTACTATTTTATTGATTTTTAGAGAGGAAGAGAGAAGGAGAGAAAGAGAGAAACATCAATATGAGAGCCATTGGTTGCCTCCTGCACATGCCCTGCCAGGGGTCAAGCCCAAAACCCAGGCATGTGCCTTGACTGGGATCAAACTGGCAACCTCTCAGTGCATGGGAAAATGCCCAACCAGCTGAGCCACACTGGCCAGGCCTCTCGGAGTTCTTAAGCCAAAAATATGGCACTGTGAGAAAATTGTAATTATAGTAAGTACCATGAAATAATGCCATTGTCATTTAAAATTATTACATAATTTATTTTAAAAGCCAAGCTATAGGCCTTGGGCTGCTTAATAAATTGGTATTTGAGACCACAAAGTTCCAGTTCTATAAAGGAATGGAGTGAACCCTTGCAGTTTGACATAGAGTGGTTTTAGCTGAAAGTCTTAGGGACTGGAAGATGGAGGATTCATACGGAAATGAGGCCATTTAAATGAAATCAACCTGTATGTTTGTACGTTAGTACGAAACCTACAGCTTCTATCATAAATCACTGTAAATGTATTAGCCCTACATCTGTATTCACTGAAGCCTTTCAACAAATGTAATTATTACTAATTAATCCTAATTAACTCACTGGAAACTGGGACTGGTTCTTAAATACACCCTGTTAAATATGCGTATGTGGTATTAAATACAGACACTGCTGACCCGGGGAGGGGAGTGCTACATGCCCCATTATGTGCTGGCATTGTCTTTCTCCCAAGCCCAGTCCACACCGGAGAGGGGAAGCTGTGGTTTCAGGACCCAGGGTACCACTGCTTTCAGAAATCTTTATTCTTCTTGGGAATTCTTGCTTCTGGGTTCCGGCTCACTCCGGTTACGTCGATGCCGGGGGAAACCAAGCTGGAGCCCACAGGCTTTAAGCAGTGGTGTGCAAAGAGGCGTGACAGTGTCAAACCTATGGTGATGGAAGGAGGTTTGACTTTGGGTGATAAACACACAACGATGCATCATAGAATTGTACACTTGAAACCTATATAATTTTATTAACTAATGTCAACCCAATACATTTAATTCAAAAAAAAAAACCTTAATATAAAAAGAGAGAGGGAGACAGGAGGCGGGCAGAGACGAATGCGCCATGGGTTGGGCATGCCTTTCCTTTCCTCGTAAACTGTGGAGGCTGTTTACAGACTATCGGTGACATGGCCATGTGAAAGCACTTTGTAACTGTAAAGTGCTATAAAACAGAAGCTGAGATGAGGCTGATGTAACCGTAGGACTCCCTTTTTCTGGTCCCCAGTCCTTACTGGGCCTGGAGGAGCCAGCATCTGTCACCCCTCCCACCGCCCGAATGAAGATGGAGAGCAGAATGAGGTCGTTAGTTAAACAAGAGGCAGAATGAGGGCCTCCTAGATCCCTGCCCTCCATCCCAACCCGCCCCGGCTGCCTACTCCAAGCTGCTCTGTTAACTCGCGATCTTGTTAACCTTGAGGAAGGCGTGGGCCTTCTGCTTAATTCCGCAGCTGGTTGCTATTCTGAAGTGGAGGGAACACGGTAGCGGAGCGGATAGCCATTCATAAAAAATACCGGCCTTTCCTTTTTCTTAGAATGCCTCTGGAAGGCAATTCTACAAGCTCATGATCGGAGACCAGGATGAGGAAAACACATGATGCATAAAAGGGAATATCCCCTTGCGTGTTCTCTCCTTTTTGCAGTCATTGTGGTTCACTCTGACTCTCTTTCCTGACAAGATCAGAGCAGGAGCACATTGGGACACCCTGTGTCACGTGCTTTCCCCAGGTCGAATCAACATCTCGGGCACCTTGCGTGGCAGTGGGTTACGAGGCCTGTAGCACAAACCCCATAGGTCTTGAGCCTCTCTCCGTGGGGTCCCACAGTGTTGCTATTGCTTGGAAGCCCTCCACACGGCTCTGGGGACACAGAGGGCACAGACCCAAGTGGGCAGCCTTGCCTGGGGTTTAGTCTCGAACCAGGGGGAGAAACTCTACCTACAGAAATCTCTCCTCCCTGCCTTCAAATATTTTATATAAGTAAGGAGGGACCCAGGGTGGGCGGGACTTCCCTGACTCAGAATTCCCAGCGTCCAGTGAGACAGTACTTCCCACCTCCAGCCCAGGGTTCGATCAGCGTCCCTCATGCAGGGAGAAGCCGGTGCAGCCCCGCACCCAGCCCCTCCACCCTCTCCTGGCCTGTGGGTTCTGTTCACTAAAAATGCCATTTGGGGACTTTCCCCTTTTTGCTTTTATTGCCTTAACACTAGACAAGTGAAGAAGAAGAAGAATTGGAGGAGGAGGAGGAGGACCAGGAAGAAGATAGGAAATCCACAAGAGAAGAAGAGAGTGAAGTGCCCAAGTCCCCGGAGCCGCAGCCAGGCCCTGTCCTGGCTCCCGCGGAAGGGCCGCCCCTGCAGGCCCTCGGCCAGCCCGCAGGCTCCTTCATCTGTGAAATGCCCAACTGTGGGGCTGTAAGTGTCTGTGTGTCCTCCCGGGATCGAGGGCCAGGCGTATGGCTGGGCCTGGCTTTGAGATGATGCATTTTGGAAAGGATGCACTTTCTGCCGTAGAAGTTGGGCAGAAAGAGTCCCATGTTGCCATGGCTTTCTGTCCTTTATCCCGTTGACTCACTCAGCCTGCAGATATTTCTGGAGTGGGCGCCCTGTATCAGGCCCTGGGCTACATGCTCAGCGGACACGAAGTAGGTCCCTGCCCCCAGGAAGCGTGAGGTTCTGAACTCGTCAGTGAGCCTTGGTCTTCAGAGCTTACTTCTCCACGTCCTGGTGCCTCCTCACTGCTCTGGGCATGTCATTCCGGGTCATGCCCTGTCGCATTTAATTGCACTGGGAATGCCCACAGAGAATTATCCTTATGCAGCATAATTGCAAAGACTCAGCTAAAGTTTATCTTTGTATTCTTTGGGGGAGACGAAGCAGATTTGCTAAGCAAAATTAATCATGTAAATAAATAGACTGAAAGGGAGTCTGTGTAATTACTTAACCTTAAGCACATGAGAAGCATCATTTAGCTAAAATAAAACCAGTTCTCCATTTGATCACTCCGAGAGCTAGAGGAGGCCTTACAGAATGTGGACCGGCCTGGCCGAAGGCTCCCTGTGTACTTCAAAGGATATTCCTTAAGAGTTGTTTCCTTTGGATGGTCCCCCACTGGTCTGAATTATCGAGCTTTTCCCAAATCGGGTTTCTTAAAGCCAGGCACACCTGGACAGGCGCGTTCTAGAGGCATCACTCGAAAAAGGAGACGGTTGCTTCTTTCACAAGAAGCCCCGTCTCCCTCGGTTAGCGCCTGTCCTTGCTTGTCCGTTACAGGGAACAGAGTACTGAGTGCTGCTTAGTGAGTCTGGGCAGTCACTGAAGTGAAGAAAGCAACAGTCTTTAAAACATGTCGATCCTATCGCAGAAATTCACTTGATTTATATTTAAGAAAAAATGAAAAGGAAAAAAAAAGTACACACACATATTTTACATTTGTTTTGAAGAGAACATAAGAAATTGCTGGCTTTTTTTTTTTTATGTTTGTATGGAGCTCTTCCATTCAGGGATGATGAAGATGTGACTTCACATCTTCACAGTATTTCTGTGTAGATTTGTTTAGAAATTGGATGCTTCCTCAATTCACAGTTTTGCTGTAAATTCTTTACCAAGGGGGGGGGGGGGGCGTCATCTTTTACGCTTCCCAATCGAAGGGCTCAGCAAGGTGGATGATGCCTTTTAACACATTTCGTACTGCTCAGGAGTTTTCTCGTGTTTCGTGCGCCATCTCTTAAGGACCGCTCACGAGTGTTCCCGTTTTCACGCCCATGGAAAACGGAGCGAATCTAGATACTTACGTAAATTTTGTTTGGTCCCTCTTCATAGAGGAAAATGTTTTACGCAGTACCATACGTTAAAAAAGTACTAGGAACTTTAATTGTTTAATTGTTTTTGTAAATAAAAATCTTATAATTATTGAAAAACAACACCTAAAGTGCATTATGATGATTTAAATAGCGTGCAGTTTGCTCAAAAACGTGCGGTCCCTGGCCTATGTCTTAGAGATTTCTATGCGGTACGCAATGTGTTAATAACTTTTAAAAATCACAGGGGGAAAAAGTGGTAGTTTTAATCCTTGCCCCGAACCATGGCAGTTTGGGTTGCTAAATCAGCAATAGATCTTTTTCCCTGTAAGGCCACAAACAGAGCTCGTGAATCTAGCAGGGCACAACCTCCCACAGCTGGGCAGGCCGGGGGCAGCCCACTAGCTGGCTCTTGGAATTCGGGGGTGTGGCTCCCATCCCTTCACAGCAGTGGCTCTCAACTGGCTGAGAGAACCCCTGAGCGTTTGGCAATGTCCAAAGACGGTATCACAGCGGAGGGGGTGCCGCTGGCAGCCCACAAGCAGCCCCCACAGCAGTAACCCAGCCCACGTGTCGGTGGTGCTGAGCTCGGGAAAGCCTGCTTTATGGCAAGCTTCATAAAACTGCCCAGTCCTTCCCCTGTTCATCATCCTGTAGTGAAACGGGGGGGTCTGAAACATTGCTTCCGTCATGGGCTGCTGATTGGGGTTCGGACTTCGCACGCAGACCCAGAGCAGCCGGACAGTCTTTCCTTCGGGTCCCAGGGCCTCCTGGGAGGAGCTGAGCAAACGGGCTCATTTCTGGGGCGCTGGCTCTGTTTCCACCAGGGCACCTCTGCTTGTCACTTTGAGCTTTTGAGGAAGACCTGATTTGTTTTTGTCCTTTCGAAGTGAAGAAAGAAAGGAAAGGGGAAAAGAAAAGAAAAAGATAGTTACTGGTGTAAAAAAAGTTTGAAAGCTGGCCCAACCCCCTCATTATACAGATGGGGGGGAAATAAGGGGGAAGGAGGGGGGGTGGCGGGGGGGGGGTGGCCCCATAGCTCCCCCGGTGGACAGGCGCTGCGTCTGGCTCCCAACTCCCGACTACAGCCTGCAGCTTGGTCCCCCGCACTGCCACCTCGCCTCCCGTCTTCCCGTTAGCACAGCGGTGGGGCTTGGGGCAGCCTAGCATTTGAGGGTGGTGTGTGCCCGAGTTTGCTGTGTCAAGTCCCCGTCCCCTGTCGTTAGACGCTGTTGCAGGAATCTCACATTTTACCATCGAGTCACTAACAACCCTAATTTCCTTTTCAGGACTGTAGATGTCATGTCACTCCCTTTCTTCCCCAGGTGTTCAGCTCCCGACAGGCACTGAACGGCCACGCCCGCATCCACGGTGGCACCAACCAGGTGACCAAAGCTCGGGGCGCTGTCCCCTCTGGGAAGCAGAAGCCGGGCAGTACCCAGAGCGGGTACTGCTCGGTGAAGAGCTCGCCCTCTCATAGCACCACCAGTGGCGAGACCGACCCCACCACCGTCTTCCCCTGCAAGGAGTGCGGCAAGTAGGTGGAACTGGACCGGGGGCTGGATCTAAGTGTGCGATGGGTAATGCGCTGTGTGGGGGCCGGGCCAGGAGGGCCCGAGGTCTCTTCAGTTAGAAAAATAACTTGGGCTCTGAGTTCTCCAATGCCACCCAGGGGGTCTGCATGGGGCCTCAGGGGTGTGCCCTTTGTCTCTGACTCGGGATTTGGTCATTCTGGGGTCAGCCTAATGAGGGTGGATGTCTTCAGAGAGCAAACCTCTAGTGACAACATCTTACTCTTTTCCAAAAATGTGGGAAGAGTAAAATTTTCCAACTTCTGCCCGTCGCTCCCAAACCATATTCACTGGCATTGCTCTCTTTGCTTCCCTGTGAAGTTTGAGAATGTCTCTAAGACACCTACTCAGGAACTCTCTGTAGCAGAGATGGCTTGCCTTCCCCTGCTGTCATTCCTGTGCCCAGGCAGATATCACCAATCAGTTGCTGCACTTTTGCTACCACTGTAAGACAAGACTTCAAACCCTTTTCATCATAATGCTTCAAACGGGCCCAATCAATTGATCAGAGTTGACTCGTGAGAGCACCTATTTAGCATCCCTGCCCTTTAAAGTATAATTTAAAAGAATAGCGAAGAGGGGGAAACTGACAGTGGGTAGTAATAGTAACAGCTCGCATTTACTGAGCACTTATTTTGCTGTATACTTCATGTGCATGAGCTCACTGAATCCTCACCCAGCAACTCCACGTTTTTATACTCGTTTTACAAATTTGGGTTGGAAGTTAGGTGAAATGACTTGCCCCACGTCACACCACCCGTAAGAGCCGAGCTGGGATTTGAACCCGGCTGTGTTCAAATGCAGAGCCGGGCTCCTCACCCCTGCTCCCTCCTGCTGGCTTGCACTGTTCATTTATTTACTTTAGAGAGAAAATATCATTGATGGTAAGATGCACACGGTTCCCTCCCACAGCATCCAGTACAGAATTCCAGTTCACTCCCCAGTGAGCCTGCCCGACTGGCAGGGGTCAGGTGAGACGTTATGAGTGACATCCTTTAGGACCCTTGCCGAGTTTCTCTTCCCATATTCTCCAGTGCCTCACACGTGAAGAGTGATAGGACCGGGAGAGATGGCCACCAGGTAGCTGCTGGAACTCTACCAGGAAAACACCCCTAGCTGGTTGAACGAGGCCAACTTTACGATACACGTTCTCGTGGGATATTTCGGGGAACTTACTAGTAGCTGCCCCTTATCAGGCACTCACCCCGTGCCTGGCACTCCTTTCAAGGATGTCTGCACGTGTTGGTTAATTCAATCTTCAAGGGAGCCTTGTGAAGTAGGTCCTTTTAGTAGCTTCTTTTTTATAAGCAGAGACACAGGGCACAGAGGCTAAGCGGTTTGTCACGGTGCATAGCTGAGTGGAGATCGACAGCAGGCAGGCTGGCCCGACCCAGGTTCTTAGCCCCTGAGGACACCTGACACCTCAGCGCCCCCCACCAAAGTGAGCTGGAGCCAGCGGCGCTCTCCCTCTGAGAAGCGCAGAGGTGGGGCAGGCGGTTTAGGCGCCAGTCCCCTCCTCTCTGCTCTGAGGTCCTTCGGAGCCAGGGTGTGCTGTCATCTTCATGTCATGGAGAACAAGTGCCCCTGCAATGATCATTAGGGTTATTGGCTTGAAATAATGAACCTCCTCGGGCTGACTCCTCACCTCCCGCCCTGCTTTGGGGCGGGGGGGTGGGGGTGTCGGGGTCTCGCCAGTTTCCTCTGAGAGGAGACAGCGCTTCTGCTCCTCTGCTCCCGCAGGGTGGAAACAAAGGGCATTTTTAACAAAAATCCGTGTTTCGAGCTTTCCGGGGACATCTGCCTCGTCTTGTCTTTATGTTGCTTGGAACCCTTTCCTACCTTCACTCCAGTAAAGATTTATATGGAAAATAGAAGTAGTTTCTGTGGTTTTCCCAACTGGGAATAACGTTAGGCAGATGGTTGCAGAATGTCTTTTAGCTGCTGAAATTCAGTTTTCCGTGTGTCAGTTGTGATTCATCAACTCTGACTCTGGTCTTAGGAATCAGCTTTGATTTTTTTGTGTTTGTACTTCCCTCCTTTAGGAGCTCAGCAGTGAGTGTAGAGCATTTGCGCTGTCCCCGCTCCATAAGTAGGCAGTCTCACCTCCAGGCACGCTTTCTGAAAAAGATCCCAATAGGGCACGTTAACATGAAGGCCAGACGTGGCTGTATTGCAGTAAAACTTTCTTTACAAAACCGGCAGGGACTGGCCGCACTGGGCCTGCTGACCTTAGTCTGAAGCGCTCTTATCCCAGGGTTTCTCACCCTCAGCACTGACATGTGGGTCTGATCGTTTCTTGTTTGTGGGAGTGGGACTGCCCTCAGCACAGAAGGATGCTTAGCATCATCCCTGGCCTCTACCCACTGGAGGCCAGAAGTAACTCCTGCCATAGTTGTGACCATCAGAAATGTCTCCAGACATTACCAGATGTTCCCTGGGGAGCAAGGTCACCCCCAGCTGAGAACCACTGTTTCATTCTTAAGGAAACAGTAGAAAACAATGATAATTGGCCAACAAGAAGGGGTCTCAGGTGAAAAAGATGGGTGGCTGCAGCTCAGAAGTCAGGTACAATAAGGACAGAGGGGCCATGGGCTTTGGCCACACAGTTACTGGTGACCTTGAGAAGAGCACTCAGGCTGGAGTGGAGGGGACAACAGTCCAGTTGGTGCAGATCCTGGAGAATTCTGACTGAGGAAGAACAGGGCCGGAGGCGGGGGGGGGGGGGGGGGGGGGTGGCGGGGGAGCATGGGTTGTTTCTGATGGGAACCACTGGAGCTCAGTGGCATGACTTGGAGACTCTCGGGTTGGTTGAAAAGGCTTGGTTAGTGATGGACAGAGAGAGGGCCTGTGTTCCAGACCACAGATGGACAGGAAGGCCTTTGAGGGTTTTCCCTTGGTTGCCACAGGAAGGAGGCCTGACACACCGTAATGTGTCTCTGTCCCCACCCCCTTTCCTTGCCATGCTTTGAGAAGACAGAGGAGAGGTGACAGGTCCCAAGAGGAGGAAGTCCTAGGAGCTAAGGAGCCGAGGACCCTGTCAAAGCCAGCTCAGACAGAGGTCCTCCACGCACCCCCTGTGCTCAGACCTCCTAAGTCTCACATGCTGCTTTTTCTTCACGTTTAGAGTCTTCTTCAAGATCAAAAGCCGAAACGCACACATGAAAACGCACAGGCAGCAGGAGGAACAGCAGAGGCAAAAGGCTCAGAAGGCGGCTTTTGCGGCGGAAATGGCAGCCACAATCGAGAGGACTACGGGGCCGGTGGGGGCGCCGCGGCTGCTGCCCCTGGACCAGCTGAGTCTGCTCAAACCCATCAAGGACGTGGACATTCTCGACGACGACGTTGTCCAGCAGCTGGGAGGTGTAATGGAAGAGGCCGAGGCCGTGGACACCGATCTCCTCTTGGATGATCAAGACCCCGTTTTGCTTCAGGGGGACACGGAACTGTAAAGGCCTGCTTGTCACTCAAAGACGGCGAAGCTCGCGGCCTCCTCCGTCTTCACGCATCAGGAAGCCTGGACTGCCTGCTTGTTCTGTAACCATTTTAAACTACCTGTTTAAAAAATGGTCGTTTTATTCAGGTTTAGAAGAAAAAAAATCCAGTTTCTTTTCCTTTTATTTAAATTTGTTTTCTTGTGGGAGGTTGGGGGGAATAAATAATTGGCACAACTCTCTGTAAGAGGTGTTTCGTCTGGGCTGCATTCCCGTGAACTCACTCCCGGCAGGGGGTGAGCCTGACATTGATGTTCTTTTGCTTTCAGATGTCAACCCTCCCGACTGCCTTTTGTCCCAAAGCTTGCGGTGCGTGTGCGTGTGCGTGTGTCCGTGTGAAGCAGGCTGCCCTCCTCTTGTTGGGGACTTGGGCCATCCTTTCCCACCGAGAGTTATTTTGGTTCTGCTCTGACCTCACTCTGTAGCACCGTGAACTTGGCGTCTTCGCCGGGAGACTGTGCTCGCGGGCAGCTTTCCAGAGAGCTAAGGAAGCCCTCGTGCCACACTTGGCTCTGCACACAGGTCCTTTGAAGAGTTGGCCAATGGGAGAATAAGTTTGCTCGCTGCCTTGCCTGTCACCTGGCCTGTTCCTAGGAACTGATTACTGCACGGTTTCAGGCTCACGCTCCCCCGAGGGGAGTCACTGAAGACCTGGTCCATGGAGCAGTGTGGCGGCCTCTTCCGTTCTCACCGTGGGTGGGCAGAGCTGTGTTTCAGCGAGCGTGCACTCGAGGTCCATCTGGAAGAAAATAACCCCAACTATTTAGTTGCCGGGGCTGTTTGTAGGGAGGGTGGTTGAGAGGCACACATTGAAGTCCCCGGAAGGGCAAGAAGTGTTCTTTTGCCCCAAAACTAGATGGGAAGAGCCCGTTCTGTTTTGCCACACTGCTAGTGGCCAGTGGAGTTCTGAGGCGACTCTGTGCCATTCCGAAGCGCTGTGAAACCTCACTCACTTGGGACTTTGCTGTAATTCATCTGTGCTGGACCGAAGTTTATCTTGATGCTAACCATGAAGAAAAGGGTTTTCTAAGAAATTTGATAGCAAATTCAAGGGCTGTAGCACTAAAGGCCAACAAAAATGGTTTCACATACCACTTTAGCTACAATGTGTGCATTCAAACAATGAATGTATTCGTTAGTCATTTACCAAAGCACTTCTACAATCTTCCAAGCCACATAACTCTGCCTCCTCCTGTCCCTGTCATCAGGGTTTCTGTTTGTACTTGAAGGTAATAAACCTGTAATCCTTCAAAAATGCCATGTAGCTCAGGCTTTGAGCTGAGTCAGACGGACCTGTCCCACTGTTCCGGCAAACGAGCAGCGCGCCTTCAGACGGGACAAGGCCCGGCACAGAGAGGACCGCTCTGGTGGGGGGGCCCCCTGGAATGTGTGACTCCCGCCCCAGGTAGGCTAGTTCCCCAGCTCCTGTGGGCGTGGCCATCATGCCGGCCGCTCTGCTGGCATGTTAATAGCTTAACATTAGAGGCAGTATCAGCGGAAGCGAGGATAAGTTTGTCTCTGCAGAAGCATTTAGCACATATTCATGGCCCTCGGCGGCCCCACCCAGGCAGTGTTCTCTGAATCTCAGGAAAGCCAAGGGCAGAAGATAAATACAAAGGTTCTTTTCATTTCAATCGTTCTGTTTTCTGAAAAGAGATCTTGGAAGTTTCTTTTTCTTTAGGGGAAAACGAGGTGTTTTATTTGCTGCCATTTCAGACAGGTCATTCTCGTATGTTCTGAGCCCAGACCTGCCTGGGCACTGCATCACCTTCACGGCAGAGCTGTCTCAGAACCATCCCAGGGCAACACTGGCCCATGGCCCCTGTCCCAGTGACCACTCCCCTCTGCTTGCGGATGTCTGAGAGTGATTCTGGAAAGGTTCTGCTATTGGGATGTATGAAAGCTTATCTAACAAAGGAGCCAACACCCAGAAAAATGTTTATAAAGCAAACGTATTCGTTATGTTTGGAGACTTGCCCAGCCGTTCCAGTTTTAAACATGAAAAATAAACTTGAGTTGCCAAGGCAAAAAATATAATGCACAATATAACTTTGATTTTCCATGCAGTATAGTGTAAGCATTTTTTGACTTGAAATAACCAAAGAACTCCTCCTTAATGAGACAGTTCAAATTCCTGAATTAGTATTTTTGGACAATATCAACTTAAAAAGAATTGACTTCATAGTAGAACATTGTGCTTTTTTTTTTTTTCTGAAACGATTCTGCCTGCATGTATGTGTTGTGTTTTAGCTTCCCAGCCTTCCCCACCCCAGAGAACTTCTCTTCCTGAAGGTCAAAGTCTTCAACATGGTTACTGTTTACTATCAGATGGTTTTTCATTAGTGAATTTAGATCTCTTTGAGAAAGCTTGTATATAAAAAGTTAACAGATATATTTTATGGAAAAACCCATCTTATTTTCAAATATATTTAACTGCTGTTATATTTTATTAGAGGAAGGTTGTAAATATTTTCTAGGAGTTCTATTGTAAAGAAAAGTATTTTTGAAAAAAATTAATGTAATAAAAACGAAAACATTTTTAAATAGTGGTTGTGATTGCTTCCTGTTCTGGCTTTGTTATGTTCTATTCTCAGCAGATGACTTGCATGCCTTCCCATTTCAGGATGTAATTTATTCAGGTTTGCACTATAAGTTGACATCATAATATCTAGTGTGCTTAACTGTATTTTCCCCCGGAATGCAGGTCCCTTGGTCCATATCAAGAGCACTATGTATAGCATATTCATAATTTTTCTTTTGTAATGTGTGTATTTTTAATAAGGATTTTATGTAACATTTTGGCAAAAAAAGGACAGTATTTTCTAGTGATTTTATAATACATTTTGCTAAAAATGTTTCTTCCTAGGTCAGTTTTTGTTAAAAGGCGAACCAAAAGTCTTATTTTACCAGGGGTTTAAAAAAAAAAAAAAAAAGTTTGAAGCTTGAAAGCAAAGTTATATTTAAACATCACATGTAACAAAAAAATAAAGATGTTTTATAGACTTGTCCTAAAAAGGTGCATTCCTTTAAAACAAAAGCATCTGGGCATTCCATGCTGGTTTCCCCCCAAGCGATAGCATTTTCTTTAAATTATCACAATATTTATTTTCAGAAAGAGAGCCAGGAGAACGCCACTGCACAGGTTCCGGCCAGGAGCCGCAGAAACGTTCTTCAGCTAGCGATGTAAGCGGATAGCCACTGTCTTATTTATTTGTGAAAACCTGACTCGATATATTGCATCAGCTGCTCTGAAAATAAAATGTTACCTTTCTGAGTTTCATTTGGCTTAAACAGTCCTTATTTCTAGCCACGGAAATGACTTCTCAGTGCCGGATAGATGCGGATTTGCCTGTTATTTGGCTTCTCTAGACCCGTTAGAAGTCTGCTGGTCAGATTTAATGTTCACTAAAGTGCCCGCCCCCACCTGGGCAGCCGGGACAGAGAATTCTGTACTCAAGCAGTGGATGAGTTGGTGGTCTCTAACCATTAGGGGCTTCGTAGTCACACAGGTATCTCACAGTTTGCATGCATTGCTAATCTGGACTTCCAGATTCTAAAGCGTGTGTTTACTTTTTAATGGTCAACAATAAACTTCAAGAGAAATCTGAAATTCTGGATTCTATACAGAATTTGCTTCAAGTGGGGCACACCTGTGAAGACCTTGATCTTCTAGGTCAGTGGTCGGCAAACGGCGGCTCGAGAGCCACATGCGGCTCTTTGGCCCCTTGAGTGTGGCTCTTCCACAAAATACCAACTTCTGCGCATGGGCCACGAAGTTTCAATCACACTGTACATGTGCGCCCGCACGTGTTATTTGTGGAAGAGCCACACTCAAGGGGCCAAAGAGCCGCATGTGGCTCGCGAGCCGCAGTTTGCCGACCACTGTTCTAGGTTTTTTTGTTGTTTTACTTTTATTTTGGCTATCAGTGTTAAGCTGCTATTCCTCTAGAACAGCGGTTCTCAATCCTCCTCATGCCGACCCTTTAATACAGTTCCTCATGTGGTGGTGACCCCCAATTTCATTGTTACACATTGAACATAATTAAAGCATAGTGATCAATCACAAAAACAATATGTAATTTATATGTGTTTTCCGATGGTCTTAGGCGACCCCTGTGAAAGGGTCGTTCGACCCCCAAAGGGGTCGCGACCCACAGGTTGAGAACCGCTTCTCTAGAAGCATTGCATTAGCCCGTATTGTACATTTAAGTTCTGCTTCCAGGGGCTCAGGTGTCCAATCCGAAGCCCTCTCCTACTGTTACAGTCATCTCTTCAGTCCCCGGGAGCCCCATGTACCAGGCACTAGTCCACACTGTATTATCCCCGGGGGAGCTGAGTGTATGAAAATGACTGTGACATCATTCCTTCCTGCCACGGAATTCAATACTTAGAAAGAGAACACAGGGCCCTGGGACCCGATCCAATTCCACCGCTGGGAAAAGCAAAGGCCGTGCTTCATTAATATTGTGAACTGCCTCACCATTACCCACGTATGCACAGCGATTTAGAATAGGTGCTCAGCAACAATCTGTTCAACTAATCATCGCTAATGTTTCAGGTGTGTGTGCGTGTGTGTAAACAAAACCTCTTCTGAAGTTACCTAAAGTCAGGTCTGAATTTCCACAGACGCAGCCACAGCCAGCTGGCTACAGTTCGCTCTAGGAATGCGGATGAGTTTTAATGTTGACACAAGCAAGACAATTAGGAAGGCATGTTGAGAAATTGAATAATATATTCCTAAGTGAACTGCAGTGATCTCTGGATCACAGATATTCCTGTATAAAAGCCCAAGGGCTGATTATGTCCTTTAAATAAGAGAGATAATCTTTTGAAAAGAGCTGTTCTCCCCCCGACCCCACCCAAGGGAAGTGCTTGCTTCTGCGTTGTGAAGGCAGGCAGCCCTACATGCTTGCTTTGCATTCCTACACACGGTTACATGCAACACTGATCTCCCCTTTGACTGTTTTGGGTCGTTACTTCCTCTGCTTGTGTAATTTTATTTTTGGCAGTATTACCATTTTTAAACACTTTATTGAGACATGATTGACATAAAAAGTTATGCATATCTACTGTATATAGCTTGATGAGTTTGGAGATAAGTATTAACCATGAAACCATCACAACCAAGAGAAAAAGGCTGTCTTCTAAAACAGAACCACTGGCCCTGGCCGGTTTGGCTCAGTGGATAGAGCGTCAACCTGAGAATTGAAGAGTCCTGGGTTTGATTCCGGTCAAGAGCACATACCTCAGCTGTAGACTTGATCCCCAGCCCTGGTTGAGGGCACGTGCAGGAGGCAACCAAACGTGTCTCTCTCACCCCCTTCCACTCTCTAAAATCAATGGAGCCGGGTGCCATTTTGTGGCTCAGCCCTTCTGGCTTTCCAGATGACCATGATTCTTCACCGCCCTCCCCCCCAAAAACATCAATGGAAAAATATCCTAGGGTGAGGATTAACAAAAAAATTAAAAAATAAAATAGAACCACTGGTGCAATCAAAATATAACTTAGAAATATTTGATGCACATACTTTTATTTTTCCTGGCTATAAAGCAAGGTGGACTTGCATCAACTCTCCAGAATTATTTGACCTCCTACTCATCTGCATTAGGTTAGAGCAGGGGTCTTCAAACTACGGCCCGCGGGCCACCTGCAGCCCGCCGAAAACATTTATCCGGCCGCCGGGTGTTTCTGCTGCCGCTGCCTGCCTGTCCTGCTTAGCCGCCGACTCGTCCGGGCCCGCAGTGCGCATGTGTGGAATGTCTGAGGGACAGGGAACTGGCCCCGTTTAAAAAGTCTGAGGACCTCTGGGTTAGAGGTTTAGAAGGTGGTAGGGAAGAGACCTATAGTAGGCCAAGCTTCAGGACGCTGTCCTTGCCCACATCCCACACCACAGAGCCCTGTCCACAGCCCTGCTGTTGGCAAAACCCGGGTTTGCCCCTCACAGTGACGCCCACCTGCCCTCAGCTAGTTGGACCAGGGCTGGCACCTGACTCCATGCTATTAGGTCCACAGGCCTGTGGTCAACAAACTGCGGCTGGCGAGCCACATGCGGCTCTTTGGCCCCTTGAGTGTGGCTCTTCCTAAGCCTGAGGAGTACCCTAATTAAGTTCATAACAATGTACCTACCTATATAGTTTAAGTTTAAAAAGTTTGGCTCTCAAAAGAAATTTCAATCGTTGTACTGTGGATATTTGGCTCTGATGACGAATGAGTTTGCCGACCACTGGCCTAGGCCATTAGGTGACATTTGGCAAGGCTTAGCCCAGAAGAACAAGGGGACCAAATCAAATTCCCACATTTGAGAGTATGAATGGAGAAACTTTATGAGTCAAAGGCAGCAGGCGGTGGCCACATCAAGGCAGAGTTCTGAGGGCACAGATACTATGTTAAGCACAGAGAGCCCATCAATAAAGAGACCACGCTGGCCACAGGAATGGAGAGGGCACCCAGTCCTTAAGGATGCTTTGAGTCCCCATACCCAGTTGCAAGAGCAGTCCAGGCCACACATGTCTTTTAATGTAAAAAATAAAAAATAGCCGAAACCGGTTTGGCTCAGTGGATAGAGCGTCGGCCTGCGGACTGAAGGGTCCCGGGTTCGATTCCGGTCAGGGGCATGTACCTGGGTTGCGGGCACATCCCCAGTGGGGGATGTGCAGGAGGCAGCTGATCGATGTTTCTCTCTCATCGATGTTTCTAACTCTCTATCTCTCTCCCTTCTTCTCTGTAAAAAAATCAATAAAATATATTTAAAAAAATAATAAAAAAAATAAAATAAAATAAAAAATAGGCCTGGCTGGTTTTCTCAGCGGTTAGAGCATCAGCCCGCAGACTGAAGGGTCATGGATTTTATTCCTGGTCAAGGGCATGTACCTTGGTTACAGGTTCAACTCCTGGCCCGTTCAGGGCACGTGTGGGAGGCAACCAATCAATGTGTCTCATATCAACGTTTCTCTCTCTCCATTTCCATTGGCAGAGGAGTGGCGGAAATGCCCCGTGTGGTCCTACACCAGAGCGTGGAAACTCCACATTTTACCTGTGCACACCTCTGCCTCCCTCCATTTCCTCTCACTCTCAAAAAAAAAAAAAAAAAAAAAAATCAATGGAAATAATATCCTCAGATGAGGACTTAAAAATAAACTAAACACCTTTACTTGCAGGAGGGTGGGGAAGTGGGAATCCAATCCTCACACCCAAAGAGGCTTTAAATGGAACTGAGCTGATCATAGGGCCAGCACCAGCCCACTGCACGGGTGGAGAGGCATCGAACCGGGGTCTTGAAGAGGGTCACTGGTTCAGCTGTAACTAACTCACCAGACGATTTTGTGTGAGTCGCTTCATCTCTGAGCCTCAGTTTCCCCATTTCCTCTTCTGAGGATCAGACTAGGTAACATAGGTGAAAGTCATCTGCAAGCTGTAATGTCACCGTCATGTGGCAGCAGGACCACCCCCCAGCTGCGGGTGCTCGAAGGGCAGAGGCAGGCCGAGGAGCATCACACAAGTTGCAAATAGACTGGTGCAAACTTGAGAAGCAGAATTGGAGAGCTGCTGGAAGCCCCGCTGGCTGAGACAGCCCAGCCAACTTGGAATGTCACAGTTCAGAGTGGGAGCCTGAAAAAAGGCGCTGGGCAGCCTGTCAGGTGTGGCAGAGCCGAGCGCGCCAGAGGTGTGCACAGGTAAAGTGTGGAGTTTCCACGCTCTGGTATAAGACCGCACAGGGCATTTCCACCACACCTCCACAAGGAAAGAGTTCCAGTAAGTAGAGGCCGGTCTAAGGGGCAGGAAAACTGGGTTTTGGTCCTAAATCTTTCATCAGTTTGTGTGATACTGGGCAAACCACTCTACCTCTTCCTTGGTTCTCTAGCCTGCAAATTAGGGCAGGGAAGGAAAAACAAAGAACTTTACATTTGCACAATACTCTAAATGCTACACAATGTTCCCATAAACTTGATTTTTTAAAAATTTTAATCTTCTCAACAATCTTGTGAGGCAGGTGAGATCAAAGCAACTTTATGGTACAAATGCCATCTATTTGCATTATTAGGTGCCAGGCATTGTACTAAACATCATACATCACTATCTCATTTAATCCTCATAGCAACTATTTGAAGTAGGAAACTATTATTGTCATCTCTAGTTGATATATGAGAAAATTGAGGCTCAGAGCAGGGAAGTAACTTGCTCAAGTCACTCAGCTAAATGGTAAACCTGGGTCCACATCCCAGATCTCCTAATTGTAA